GAGTCTTTAACTGACAGGATACACAATTTCACCATTTAGCGTCGCGAACAGGGTGTCTTCCTTTATTGGAAACCTTTGAAAGAGGAGAATGTTGGCGATGAACAGCCTACATTTGTGGTGCCAACAATTTTTTTTCTCAAAAAATCTTAACTCGTGATGTTAGCTTTAAAACGAGGCGCGAAACGATCAGGGTCATAAAATAATACGGTCTAATACGGCAGCTAATTAACAATTTATTTATTAAACAGGGTCAGGGTTTGAAGGCCTTGGCCTTCGGCACCTATACCCGAACTTCCCGCGAGTGCCCCCCCCCCCCCCCCCGAACAAGCACCTCAAAGTTAAATGAATTGGCTCCTGGTCCGGTGCTCAATCAATGCTCAAGGAACTGGTATGAGTGTGGGATCCTGATCCATTAAAAGAATAGCCTTTTGAGCAAAAGTAAACCATGGTCCCCGAACAAGCACCTCAAAGTTAAATGGATTGGCTCCTGGTCCGGTGCTCAATCAATGCTCAAGGAACTGGTATGAGTGTGGGATCCTGATCCATTAAAAGAATAGCCTTTTGAGCAAAAGTAAACCATGGTTCACCCCCAAACCTTTGGAAAATACCGTACACGCATTTTCGATGCTAGTTCCTCGATGCCGAAGTGATTTGTCTCGGGGACGGGGTGAGTTCTCCCTTATATAAGCTATACAGGTATGTGCCGCCCAATCGGGTAGGGTTTTTGCGTCATTTTGGTCTGAAAACGGGTATAGATTTTGCCAATTTGGTCTGGAATCGGGTATGGTTTATGCGAGGGAACTACGATTGTGTACTCGTAGTTTCAATTCCAAATGAATAAGAAAGAAAGTGTAATACGCGAACTCGAGATGGATTTTAAGAAATCTTTTCGTTGCAATGATGACGTAATTTATGTTTTATCATATGTAAACATGTAATGTTGCGTTTTGTGACCACCTCCAGGTCTGAAAACGAGTTTTGAAAATGACAAATTTTGGTCCGAAATAGGGTCAGGATTTGGAGAACCGGGAGGCATACCCCCACCAAGAATTCCCATGAGTACCCCCCCAGGTCCTATTTTAATATGAGACAAAAATTGGTTATTTCATCAGAGCCTGATCTCTGGTTGTTACAACATACTGACGAGCCCCAAAGAGGGCGAAACAGCTGTCTATGGCTACAATCCCGCTCTGTTTTGAGTTCTTTCGGTGTCGTGTTGATGTCTTGCAGACTTAATTTTCACGTAGTACGATCAGCATTGCAGTATTCCATGGTATTCTGCTTGCAGAATTTAATATTTCTGTTTCCAGGAGCCCATCAAATTTGATGGGCTCCTGTTATTTCCCAACCCTGCTTAAGACAAGACGCCTTTATTTTGTCGACCCTGATTCATTTCATTTTGCATAAAAAATTAACTAATTTTTCTAACTAACATGATAGAATTAAATTTTGTGGGACTCAAATTTTTGGTGCTACAATTCAGGCCGCTTATCGCCAGCCTTGATACTTTTTATAGACTAGCGTTCCAAAAAGACACTCAGTTCAAGACGCTAAATAGATATAGTGAAATTGTATCTGATTGTATACCCTGAAGACCCTGAAAACCATACCCCGTCTAGGTCAAATAAGGGAGTGCCCCTCCCCCCCCGGAACATGTAGGCGACTGATCAAGTTTCCTCTTAGCTTAAGAATGGGCTACTTTGCTCTTGTGAAATATTCCTCTCATCTTCCTTTGCAGATCAAAGTTGTTGTGTGCAGTGATCGTCAGCCTCTTTTTGTTATTCACATCGCAGACTTATCATTAACGCCCAGCTGTGTAGAGATTCTTGTCTTGCAGTCCTTGTTTATTCGGATTTGTCACGCTAATTGACCTAGTTTGAGATATGGAAAGGTAACCTGCAATCTTTTGTCCTATCTTCCCGGGAAAGCCTCTGGCAACGCGCCCGCTTATCAAAGAGGGCGGGTAATTAAAACTGGGTCTTTGACCTCAGCTTACGAACTGGCTTGAACTCCCGCAAAAAATTCGTATCATGATTTGCTGAAAAAAAAAAAACCTCTCGCTACTTAGGGTGCGTTTTTTGGGAGAAAATCCTAATCGGCCTAATCGGGTTTCTCAAGTTAAACCAAAATCTTTTATTATAAAACCACTCTGTCTTGAACATGTTCCCTGACTTTATTAAAAAAGGCAAATATGATAACAGACCAAGATATAAATACAACAAATATTTGACAATAAGTAAACATAATGACCCCTACCCACTTATAAAAAAGTCAGGGTACAAAATGGATGATGGAGTAGCACATTGCTATAAAGTTATATTAAAAGGAAATGCGTACCATCTCCAATGAAAGTAATATCTGCAATGATAAGTTTAATTAAAAATAGCAGCCAACATACCTTAACCTTCACAAGCTGATGTTATAAATAGACAGCATAAAATAGTTCCTAGGAGCTATATTTTATATTTTGGCTTAAAGAATGAGGAAATATAGAACTTCAGAAACCACATGGGTTTAACACTAGACGTTAAACGAGCTGTGTCATGAAATTTACCAAAATGTAGGCTGTGGGAACTGCCACCAAATTGAGTGAAACATAAAAATAACCGCTTAAGACATTAAAAGATGGTATAAATGACTCAGCAAATACAAAAGAAGGTACAGATGGGAAAACATGAAGAAGATTAAAACGGACTGAAATTTTGGTTTTTGAAAACTTGTTAACCTAACAGTTTTTCAAAGTTCATTGTTTTCGTCCGTAACGCTTGATATGCTTGAGAGAAACATCTGTTTAAAACGAAGCTTTGATTTCTTCATTTCTTTGCCAACGTAACGCTCAAAAGCGAATAGGGACCACGTAACTGGCAATATTAACAAAATGAACCAGATAGCCGTGACACAGCACCTTTTATAATAAGTAGAGGAGTTTGTATCTGCATTGTTTGAGAAGTTTTGAATAACAATAACAATTTCCAGTCAACGAACCATGAAAGCTCAAGGCAAAATCGCAAAGGATTAGTCTCAGTGAAGAAATGAAAGGAAAAACAATTAGGAAACGTACGGCCGAGCAATACATCAAAATACCAGTGATCACGTGAAGAAATTACCGTGAGGAAACTAGGCACGAGTCAAATCCCCACCTCGCTCCCCGACTTCCATGGACTTCCATGAATATGCTAAGCAAATCCTGAGAAATCCCCCACCCCCACGGGCTAACCATCCCTTCAAATGCATAAGTATAACACGACTATGGAGACAGGCGCTGGAGTGAAATCAGCATACACAAGTTTGACACTTTGTCAAAATTTCAAGAAAGAATTAGGTCTTTTCCTAGTCTTAATGAATGTTCTATGAACACGCAATAGACCAGTAGCCCATTTTATACAGGTGGAAACGAGGCTTTTGATGCAACCCTTCCTACTTTATTATGTAAATTGTGTTGTTCTTACGCTAACTAGTACCCTAATTATTCGAATAAGCGCCCAACCTAGAATTAGCGCCCACCTCGGACAAGCGCAAATCCTAAAGGCAGAAAAAGTTAATAAGCGCCCACCTCCTCCTGCCCCCAATCAAACCCAGATAAGCGCCCACCCCCACCCCACCCACTTGAGTGACAATGAGATTGAAATTGAAATTGAAATTGAAAGTACTAATAAGAGACTTCCCCGAGGAGGGAGTTTTTGCTCAGAGTATTTTACAGAAACCCCGCTTTGTTACTTCTTCGCGTTTTTTTTTATTCGCATTTACTGATTGTTTTGTTGCAAAATATAAAACACACTACACTTGCTGAAAATGGTGAAAACTTAATAAGCGCCCACTCTCAAGATCCAAAAATTTAATAAGCGCCCAGGGTGGTAGTCTCCTTCGCAGCCGTTATTAGGGTCGTTGCGTGACGACCTTAATAACGGCTGCGAAGGAGACTATCAGGGTGGTTAATCGAATAAATACGGTATTATTTGAAGCAAAATTTACTTTAGAAAAGAGAGGAGGTTTGTATCAAAACAAGGTCAACCTCAGCGTCGCGTTCGACTCAAAGGCTAGGACAATTAGCCCTCAACTGTAAAATGGCCTATTGGGCTCCTGTCACGATGTATTAAAATTCATACTTGGTTGGGTGGCTTGGCCCCAAGCCTCGGCACAGGGTCCAGAGGAGATGTGTTTGTCTTTAGAACATCAAAACCCGTCGAAAACCTCCGAAACAATGGGTTATTTTGATCACGTTTTTGATCGCGTTACAGTTTCGTTACACATTCTATAGACCGCAAACCAAGAGACTGAGGGCTCCCAAGATCGGCCAAGAGTATAAATTTCTTTTACTCGGCACTTCGGGCCTCGGTCTCCCTTCGGGCGACGTGCGGTTATTCGTGCGGTTATTGATTTTCAAAAGTCGATCTGGGTCAGATAAGAAGCGAAGAAATCGTTTACAGTAGATTTATAAAGATCCCATTGGGCTAATTAATCGTGCTAAGCGACAGGTATAGACTTTTTCAAGGTGAGACTTAAAATAAGTAATTCATTTATTCACACGAAACTCCTCTGGACCCTGTGGCCTCGGCGCCAAATATGAATTTACTTTTTACGGCCTCTTTCCCAGGTTTCACACCTGCTCCTCTCCGTCGCGCGACTAGGAACGAGGCTGATTTAAGGGTAGTAAAACAGGTTTCTTCTGGTTTTACCTGCCGTAACGCACTAACCTGATTACTCACAGTGATTCAGCATTACGTCACCAGAAGGAACTAAAATAGCACGGGGCGTGAGAAGGTTCATTTATAAGGTGCCACGAAGCCATATTCTCATACTGCACTCTATGTGTGTTCCAGAAGTTTATGAGCCTTGGATCCTTGCTGTAGAAAGAAAACAAGTTGACAGTACTATATTTCCTTGAGCCTTAGGAGACCCACGTTGTAACAGATTTCAAATATTAACGTTCTAGAAAATCCCAGAAACAGAAACAATTTCAAGCGCCTAACGAAAGGACGCCGCTGTTAAAATCTGCTGATATGTATTTCGCCAACGAGGTAAGGACAAGAAAAACCCTCCTTTTTAATGAGAGTTCAGTCACATCTTCGAGTAACGCCGCACGATCATTTATCGTTTTATAGCTATAGACATGTTCACGACTCTATTTTCTTACTTACTTAGGTGGATTTTCATTATGTAAAAAGTTGATAAATTGCTATCTAAAAAAATATTATATTTTGACGAGCGGCAGTCTGTGCCGTTGTTTACGGACTTCACGCGTACGTGACTTATGCTTTCACGGTCAATTTGCCGATTTGTGAAAACACTATGTAAATTACCGTGTTGAATTCTGTTGAGTATAGTTTTGACTACAGCTTTGTAAAGTAGCTGGCGTTTTTTGTCCAAAAGAAACAAGAACTGGAAAAAATGTGTACATAGTGATCGGTATTTTGAACGCCAATACTGCTATCCATGATGTTTAGGTCACGCACTTTCAGTTTTGAAAACAGGACAATAGCGACCAGGATGAACTATAAATTTCAAAGAAATAACTTGTAAGTTTATTTTTATATTCAGTTTTAAATCTAAAGCTAAATTTAATGATGTGCAAATCTCCCACATGGGATATATGTGTAATTTGTTGAAAGTATCGATCTTGTCAACATTTGAAGCCAGTTCATTGTTTTCATGCAGTGGACATCGTATCCCGGAAGCTGGTCAGCTGGCTGGTGGACTATTGACTAGAGTTGCTGCTAAATCTGATACCGTCCAAAGTCGAAGGGATAACATATTTAAAAGTTCCTTGCGTTTCATTTCCCATTTACGCTCGCAAAAACCTGGTTTACAGAAATAAAATTTTCTGACTCGACCGCACCCAAATGTCTCTAAATAAAGTACCTTTAAAATAAATAACAACTTTTTGGCATCATTTGATACTATTACGGTAATGCAGTGAAGAGGGCGGCCGGTGGAGAGTTGAAAAAGTAATATTCAAAACTGGTTGTGGGATGCGGTGTAGATGGAATGTTTAGACTTTCGCATATATCAGTTTCACGGTTTAGAGCGGAATGTCTGATCGATCTGACATCCTGCCTCGCTTCATCACGTAGATACCCACCCGGAAATAAATAATTTTAAAAGGTGCCGCGAAAGCAGCTGTTGCGTTTATTTTCGTGTAATTTTAATTATAAGATTATCTTGCAAGGTTAATCCAGAGTTACTATTTTGTGATACAGGCCCATGATCTCGGTCTCTTCTAAACTAAAACAGCCGAAAAACAGCCACATTGAGTAAAACGACATTCTGTCCCCACCCCTCCGTACTTGACTTTAAAAATGCTCCTCGATCCTCTCACGTGACTTCTGTGAGTGAGTAAACATGGCGGAAGAGGAGAGTATTTTTCATCCAAAACCAGTTATTTTTAACCTTCATCATTTGAGGAAGTGAAAACAAGTTTGGTCGTGCTGGCGGAATACCGATATCTCCTTGTGCAATGGAGGTCTGTGAGCATAATTGCTGCATTTTTTAGGTTTAAATTCCACTGCTTGGCGAAAGAAATCGATTTGGACTGTTCATTTTAGTAATTTCAGCCGTGTCTCGCGATGGATCCCCAGGTAAAGTTCTATTTTACGACTTAATGACAATTCAATCACACCTTTTGTTTGTTTCATATCGCACTGTGAATCAGTTACTTGCTAAAATACACAATAATTACTCTGTATACAGCCAATAAATGTAAGATCGGACATGTGAGTACTTAAGCTTAACTGAAGTGACTTAAATATGGTATTTAAGTTACTGTTCGTTTAGCTTCACTTGTACAGGCTGACTGGGCCAGCTTGCGACTTTTTTCATTTTGAACATTTATTTTTGAATGGCTTATTTTTACTTTTTGAAAATTTGACCTTTTTTTTAAGTCTTATATTTTGTGCATTTGAATATGTCATTCAAAACAATGTCTGCTGGGCAGTACACTGTTTTTTAAGTGGCTGTCCATTTTATTTTAAGAAAACTTAAACATAAACTTAAGTACTAGCTTAGTTGGACTCAAAAGATTAAAACTTACCAAAACGGCTTTGTAATATTGTTCTAATGATAAATAATAGCAAACGACAGAAAACTTTACTAAGTAAAGTGTCTGCTTAAATTATATTTGCATGTCTTGTGCTTTCAAAATATGGCTTTGAGAATTTATTTTGTTCTTTGTATTATCTTTAAAATACCGTATTCGCTCAAATAATAGCCGGGGCGATTATTTCTTTTTCGCATCAAAAGGGGGTGATTATTCAATGGACTCGATTATCTCAAATATTGCTTACTGAAAGTCATGCCCTGAATATTTTGTTTTATTATCCCATTAACCAAAAAATTATCACATCAAATAAAACTGAACATGGGCTTTTTAAGCGTTCCAAATTTGGTTCCTTGATTAATTTTCGGAGCTTGGATCGTCTTTGATCGGTTTTGCTGGATCAGATTCCACTTCAACTTGACAGGAAGGTGATAAAAGAAAGAGAAAATGGCGAGAAGGATGTTGGGGGTGATTAATCGAGAGACAGCTATTATTCGAGGAAATACAATCAATCAATCAATCAAAACTTTATTTCACTGTGAATTTCAAATAGATAGCATCAACTAATGCTTATATCTCCAAAGGTAAAGCAAAAACAAATAGAAAATAAATGACCAAGGTAATTAGAATAAAGTAATACTATATATTATGTAAAAGTTTAATATAATGTAGAAACAAGAAAATTATTTTTTACATTGTGACTACAGTAACTAGTGATAATTAAAACCAATCACAAAAGGAGCAGCATTTATTATCAAAGCTAATGCTTTTAATTTATTTTTGAATTGAAAACATGTAATGATTCAGCAGTTGTAAGTACCTCTGGGAGCATATTCCAATATTTGCTGGCAGAGTAGCGAAAGGAGTGCAAATCATATTTGGTCGATTGAACTCTGGGAATACTTAAAGAGTGTTTACCACGCAAATCGTAAGAAGAATTTCTTTCTATCAGTAGCTTGTTAATGTAACTAGGGGCCAGACCTTGAAAAGACGGTAGTTTAAAGACGGTAGTTGAAACAGCTCACAGAGTCTGATGTGACTTGTGCCTTTGTAGCGTTATATTTTTAACAGTGTGGGGATTAATAAAAAGACTAAGATATGACCTGATTTTTGAAAGAGAGATCTGTTTGTTAGGAACTACATGTACACTGCATAATTTCATAATTTGCTACACTTTGGTAATCATTCCGATAAAGCTTTGATCAATATTTGAAACTTCAATAACTCACCATAATTCCACTTATTAGAAAACTATTACTCTTCTTCTCACCAAAGTAAGCCAAAAAAAGTATATAGAACATGCAAAACATGTACCTCTTAATTAATTTATTGTTCACTTCTCTACAAGATAGTGTGCAAGAGCATCTATTTTTTTTTTGGCTCTAGTTTGTATTTTCATCCGCCGGAGTGATCATGAGAGAAGTGACGACCAGAAATGCGTCTGCGGTTCGCAGGCTACTCTACAAGGATATACATTAGAAAATGGGAGACTATGTGATTGTGTATTTCCACCAAAATGTAGCTTGGCAACTGTAAGATAAGGCCTGTCTATGTCATATGGTGGTATGTGCTTGGAAGGAGGGGGTTTCAAACTATTCCTCAGGCCCAAATGGGCTCTGAATCAATAGCCTGTGAGGCCAAAGGCTGAATGAGCTATTGACTCAGAGCCCATAAGGGCAAGAAAAAGAATAGATTGTTTTGGTGAAATCCAACTAGTTGGTCAAAAATGTCGAGACAAAATAACTTTAGCTAGTTAAAGCTAGACTTTATTCCTCTTTTGCTGCCAAAAAGCTGGTGCTTTTCGTTACTAGTGGGCTATAACATATAGTCTAGTAGTTGCTGAACCAATCAGAATACAGCATTGATAATAGACCACCAGCTGTATTTTACTAGTAGTGGATACAACATACCTCCAGCCTGTTTCCTGTTACTGCAAAAAAGTAATTTTGTAGATGATATTTAACATGTTTAAAAATCTTGTTCTAATTCATGGTAAAATAATTATGTTTGTGCATTAACCTACATTTAGTACTAAAAGATAATGCCAGCAGATTTTTCAGCTTTTTCCAGCTTTTTCCTAGCCTCCCCGCAGACGTCCTTTGGGGTTCGTTTGTCACGCATTCATTTCTCCCCCACGGATGTCTGCTAAACAGAGCCGACTTTTACGTTCTGGATTGTTTGAAGAAGCCAATAAGCGGTTAGTTATTGTGTCACGATCAGCCAATCACGCGCCGTGATATAAGTGATGTCTCTGGATGTCTCTGGTATTCTCAAGTGAATTATTTATTTGCACGGCTATCTTCTACATGAGACGACTCAAACGTTTTGAAGAAATCACAGAAACGATGCAATAAAGCTGCAGTCAGCTGTATATTTTTTTCGGAAGTTGTGACTATAAAATAATCTGCTTTTCTTTGAAAGACTTCAGACAACAGTCTCCCACACGAAGCGCCGGAGCGGTTTTCAGCGCCGGGTCGAAAACAATAATTACTATTAACTCTGTATATATTCAAGTATTAAGAAAAGATAACTTGTAAACGTGTATAGGGAAGATATTCAAAGCATTCTTCAAAACAAAGGCCGTTTCCTTTTTTTGCGAAATGTAATTCCACCAAGGTCATGGGTCGCGAACCAAGGACCAGTACATAAAATTTGGTTATATTTTTTCAAGAGTAGGTAAAACAAAAATTCAAGTCTACAGCAATGTGCTTCCAATGGCAGAAAAACGTTTTTCTGAAAACTTGTTCTGCAAAAAGGCACGCCCTCCCATTGCGCTTTTATTTATTCACAAGCTAAGTAAACATGACCACGGTGTCCGCCGAGTCCAAACTTCAAGCTAGAACGACAAATTAACCTACCTGTCAACAAACTTTAATCTCGCCTCCTTCAAAGAAAGAAAGAAAGAATGCTTATAATCAATAAATCATTGAACCTTTCATTGTTCATTGTATTTTATTTCTCGATTTAAATATTTAATCATGCTCGGAAAGTCGCCGACCAAGGACCACATAGTAACTGTACAAGTCACTCGCTAACATTTCCTCCACCGATCGATCTTCAACCAAGCTTCTGGGCTTCCGTAAACAACAGAGAAAGTCCCTCTATCGACAACCCTCATATTCTCTTTGCTAATATCACTGAGCGTTACAGCAGGAATACCAATATTTTCCAGCTTCGTAGATTGATCTTTCAAGATTTACCAGGGGAGAAACAACATCAACAGTAATGTCCAGTAGTTCCACGCAATATGTCGCAAACAAGCAGCAAAGCTTGAGAGATAAGGGATTTGCCAAATCCCGTCGGCAAATTTATGAACTCATCGGTCTTCGCTATAAAATTTGCAGGATAGCTTCTCTCTCATATTTGTTTAACTCTGTATTAATTACAAATTTCTTGCACACTCTCGATCAAAAGCCTCACTGATCGTGAGAATCTTAAGAAGTGGCTCGGGTTACGTTTTACAAAAATCCGTAAACGGCCTGTGATTGGTGAACGTAAAAGTCGGCTCTGTTTAGCAGACGTCCGTGGGGGAGAAATGAATGCGTGACAAACGAACCCCAAAGGACGTCTGCGGGGAGGCTAGCTTTTTCCAGCTTTGATAGAATATAGACATGGTAGATTTTTGGCATAGCCCTTTGGTAACTGTCTGCTGAGAAAAGAACCTTGAGTTCAGTTTCTAGTACAGTGAAAACCTGTGACTAAGAGGGTTTTTTTTAAGAACCTGTTAGGCTACAATTGGTCAGTTACAGCTGTATTAAGACCCGTCTATAAAAGAACCTGTTTAGACATAAAATGTGTAATTAAAAATTCTCTACAGTTGGGCAAAAGGACTTCAAAATTACAGGGGGTTCATTAAGGGCCGGGCACCGGGCAAATTGACCGGCTGTGAACACGACTTTGCCCGGCTGCTTTACATCTCAAAGAACTTCTTTTTAATACAAGGAACGATCAAAAACAGTTTTAAGTTACAATCGTGCCCATTTCTTGATGAGTCTTATCGAGTGTAAAACATACTTTGCCGTGCAATTTCCACTTTATTACACGCGGCATGAAATCCCCTCGTTCTTTGTGTGTTAAAAACAAGAATCGGCCCATAACACATTGCGAAAAGAACTGTGCTTCATAAACGACCACCTGAAATGTATCAGTGTTGCGAGCACGTGAGCCAGGGCTGCAAATAACGGACAGCAGGTTGCCGGTCATGATGACCGGCCAAATATTTTTTCGCCCGGACAAACCCCGATTCTGGCCGGTCAAATAATGAATACTAATAATTTTTTTTTGCGTAAGGAATATCCAATTATGCTGGCAATAGATCGTTATTACTACATTGACGTTCACATTTTTGACAGCAAATTGGTGAAAAATGCATTCTCACGTTGTAGATTTCCTTTCCGCGGTTTTCGCGCGTTTTAATGTTACGTTCTACCTTGAGTATCATTGCACGGCCGTGTCTGAAGTCTCTAGAGGTAAAAAGTGAAGCGTAAATCCTTTTCAAACTCCCAAGGTTCAGGAAACGGAATACACATACAGTTCAGCAAACTTTAGCAATTACGAAAAAAAACCCAAAAGAATTGGGTTATTTTACAAAATCTGCACACGCTTGTTTTACGTTGATGTTCCGAAATGAACATCGGTGAAACTTGATCTTTTTCCTTGCCTGAACCGTGATCGAAAGTCACTTCCTCAAAGAAGAATCGTCGCTGAGATTTTCGGGAAAGACGTTGATTTGCATTGAGGAGACGTTTGTTCCACAAACAGCGTGTTGATGATCAGAAGTCAATAAATGAATTTGGGTCATCGCGCAACATTTTATCGCTGAAGGGCTCAAATGTCAACAGAAATTTGCATAAAGTTGTTTACAAGAACGAGAAACTAGCGCCCGCGATAGGCTACGACCTTCCCTCTTGAGTAGCTTAAATTTTTATCAGACCATTCTGGAATCGAGTCTGCAAACGAGATTCATGTTCGATATAAAAAGAAATTATTATTAATCGATGCGCTAACTTTTATTCCCGGAGAAACACAGGACAACCTGTTGAGAATTGCGATCGATTTGCCTGAATTCCTTCGAATTCCCAAAGAAGGTCACATTGCTGATTACAGCAAAGCAGAAAGTACAGTACGACTTGCAACACTGCGTTACGTTCCAACTCAGTTTGTTATTCACTTTGTTGCGTTAGATTACGACATGACGACATAAAATTAATTTATTGCGGCGTTCTTTTTCTTAGAAGGGTTTAGTGCAAAGCAGCAAAACACGCCAAAGAAAAAAGAAATCATTGCAGCGTTATAGAGCATTAAACGACAATTGTATGGAAAATAAAGTGTTTGTATCCAAAAATGACTGGTCAAAATGACCGTCAAGTCCGGAGTTTGACCGGTCAAGTCCGCGATCAGGCCGGACATTGTCCGTTGACCGGCCGTTATTTGCAGCCCTGTGAGCATGGCGGCCTAGAAAAGAACGCGTTCGATAGCGTATTATTTTTCGGCTTCAACCAAAGGGCCTCCAGTAGAGAAAAGACCAAGAGATGAGTAGACTTCTTTGTGATTTAACCTTTTACTTGCCTGTATATATTGAATGGCTTAATCATCATGTTCAGCGAAGCGAAGCGTGATTTTTATTCGTCTTATGGTTTACGCCAATGAATTAATTTTCGGTGTGTTCACGTTAAAACAAGGCTCCTCCCGTCTAGTCATTGAAATTTTAAAGATAAGTTGATTACGGCTCAGATGCTGACGGTGAGTTTGAGTAAAGATTATTATGAGCAGAGCTATTAAAAGAGAGCCAAAAAGTCCAATTTGTGTGGTGGGTATTGGTATCAAGTCATGATTAAATTGTCTAGAAAAGTTATCTTTTTTTGGTTGTTGAAAGTCATTGTATGCAGCTTCAAAATGCAGGAAAACACATCCTTATGACTATAGAATTTCAAAATTTTCCGGGGGATAATGCCCCCGGACCCCCCTAGAGGGCAAGGCCCTCCGGGCCTTGCCAATTCTTTGCCCGGGTGTCAAACTCAGTTGCCCTCCTGTTCAAAACCTTAATGAACCCCCTGAAATTATTGTGGCCAGTTGTTTAGTCCTTCTCCTCATAGTCATTTTTACATAAATACTAATTTGGTATGCAGATTTTATAGAAGGAATAAGCTGAATACTGCTTTTTCTTTCGTCAAAAAATAAGAACCTATTCAAGAACCTAAATAGCCTAAATTTGTGCTAATTAGCATTATGTAAGAACCATTTTAGGTTCTTACTCCAGGGTTTTTACTGTAGTGAGGTGATCATGACACCTGATCTTACTGGCATATCATCCATTCGTTAAATCAAGAAAGCACATTAATTTATTTTACCCAAACAAAAGCATGCTGTTTCATGTTTTAGGCTGGGATATTGGATACAAATATGTGGAGTCCAGTGGAACCTGGTTAACATGCCTTTATAATGTCCATATTATCCGGGTGCCCATATTAATTATGCGGGTTGTCAGAAAAATGTCACAGATACATGTTTTATTTGTATAACCACATTTTAATGAGAAACAGTTATTTAAATTTGTGATGGGATCTTGTACAAGTTATAATGTCCATATTATCCGGGTGCCCATATTAATATTATGCGGGTTGTCAGAAAAATGTCACAGATACATGTTTTATTTGTATAACCACATTTTAATGAGAAACAGTTATTTAAATTTGTGGTGGGATCTTGTACAAGTTCATCCTAAAGAAATTTCACAATCATTATTTTGTAATATTCTTAAACTAAAATTACCTTTTAATTTATTGTTAATGAAACACAAAAATGGAATTTGTGACTTAACTTTGTGCTAACACTTTAACTGTCTATTATGTATGGGTGTCTGTATTAGGCGAGTATCTATAGAGCAGGGTTCCAGTGTACATTGTACATACTTACCATTTTCCTGACAGACAAAGTTAGCAAAGTTAGGTAAATGCTTTTGAGACACAGCCAAAAGCAGTTGTAAAAATGTATCTTGATTAACTAGTGTTTTGGTAGCCAAAAAATCTTTACAAAAGTATTGACATCATAGATTGTATTTTAGAAATGTAGATCTATACATGTTGTTTGCAAGTTGCTTTTTGCAAAGAAGGTTTTTGTTTGTGCTAAGCAAGACTTTTCACTTAATCTTTATTCACTACAACGGGCTAAAATCTCAGTTGAATTGCTTCCTTTCATTCTCCATAGCAAATTTGCCAATTATTGCCAATTATTTTTATTTTCAGGATTTTCATAAGGCACTTACTTTTGTAAGAATTTCAATTTCAAATTATAATGATTTGAAAATACATGTAGGTGGGACTGTTCATTTATAAAAATTGCCTAGCTCTTATACTGAGTATTGAAAATGTCATGGGTTTCAAATCAGGATTAATTAATTTTAGTATATGACATATTCAAAACACTTTTATGATTTTAAATGGTTAAAATTTTTGTGTATGAACTACATAATGATTGTAGTTCTGCCTTCACTCACAAAATGAGAACAAAACAATATTGAAAATGCTTTCCTTACAAAATATGTTCCCATGTACATATTGAAAAAGGAAGGTGCACTTATTAATTACTGGCAATTCCTTTCTGGTTCGTCTACCATATCCTAAGGTGATGGATTTTTATTTTAAAAATAATTATGTTTTTTTTTTGTTTATTAAATGGCATATATAGTAAGCAGTTAATAAAGCAGAATATTTATAATGGGTACAAACTTGTGGGTTTAACTTTAGACCACATAGAATGTTTCTTTTGAATTCAATGGGTTGATGATGTTAGGTATATTTTAAATAGAAGTTTCATGTCTTTGTATCTAAAATATATGATCATGGTGATTCAGTTTCTTGACAAGAATGCCACAAACAAGAACAGATATATAATTAGGGAATTCTCTGATTGGTCCTTTGAGCATTTTGGTCAAATACAGCTGGCACCTTCTCACCACAGATGTGAAACGTGAATGTTTTAGAGGTAAATGTTATTCATTCAGAGGTGTTATACAGTGGTGTATTTGTTAAGTGTCAAAAGCCAATATTTATTCTTCTGCCAGGCTGTCAGATCATGTCTTTTGTAACAGTTCGATTGTGTTGATGAAAAGGGGCTAAAATGTGCTGGGATTTTCTTTTTTCTATACATGTGTTCAGAGAGTTTAGTCTTGAAGACTCATTTATATTTCCTGGTGTGAGGTAATTCTTTTTTTGGTCTAAAGGAGTGTAGTTTTGGTTTGATTGCAAAAAGTTTATTTTTAAAAAAAATAGATAAATTATTCTTAAAAGTTCAATATATCTGAATGGTTCAAGATTTATCTGTCCTCTTTTCAAGTAGTTCATTTTTTGGCTTTATATGACTGCACAGTGTGTCTGTTGTTAGTGGAAATTCTTGGCATGGGGCACTATGAAAAAAAATACAGTTTTTATTAGATCTCAAAATAGCATAAAAATACTGCTCAAGAAGTTTCACTTAAAAATAATATAAAATTTGGCACCAGGTTTCATACATGTAGACTCAAAAGTTGTTCTTAGTATACTGAGACAAATAATTATTTACCTTGATGATTCATTTGTAATGACTTTTTGTCCTTTCTATCGAAAGTGTGTGAGATCAGAAACTTATAACGAGCTAAATATTTCTGTGTGCATCCTATTTGCAATAATAGATGTAAAATCTTCAAATAGGATGCACACATCTTAACGAGGACTAGAAAGGATAAGTAACTTCTAAAGGAGCTAAATTTATGTGTTCGTCCTATTTGTAATAATAAAAACTTCAAGTAGGATACACACATCTAGGTGAGGACTGGGTGCTACTTTCCATGTCTAAGTAAAATTTTATTTTACAGACTGTATTTTAATAATCTGTTTTTAAAAAAATTGCGTAGGTATAGATAAATGAATTTTAACTGTGGGAATTATTATTTGTAACATATAGAAATTATTTTATATGTTTTGTGTTGGAATGAAATAATGAAGGAGTGTGTAGAATGATGCATCAAGTCACTTTTGATGAATTGTCAAATTCTTCTTTTGTTTCACAAAAACATACAAGGCAATTCCAAAGGAATGTTAAACAGTTCTTTTCATCAAAGGCACTTTGGGCCTTTTCCATGCCCAAGTGAAGCCCTTTAGGTAAATTGTCACTAGTGACATTGCCTTGAAACAGGGACATAGGACAGCAGAAATGGTGACAAACAACACAAAGATGGGTTGAAAATGCGACAGTGACGTGGAGAAAAATGCAAATACAATAGGAAAATACTGACAGTGACATGGCTTCCTCCTCAATACGCAAAAAAACAGGTTTTGAAACTCAGACTAGGGACATATGTAACCCCCCACCCCCTCAGAGTTTTTGATAAGATTTTGAGTGGGTGGCAAAAGCTTTGGAGTAGGTGGAGAAGGAAAAAACTCACGGCAAAGGCGCAACTTGCAAGTGCAAGTTTCAGGAAAAATTTTGAAATCTGGGCCTTAAACAAAAATGTTATATATATCTGTTCCCACTTAGGTGTGTAGTGGAGAGGAACCTACTTCAGTGTATTTTTACAATGTTATCTTTATCTCATTACTTTGTGCTGTTGTGTTTGTAATAGGTTGCTATAAAAGAGAAGGGAGGAAAGGTGTCCTTTCCAAGTGATGGTGAAGATATCTCCAAGGTACTCAGCCAAGAGTTCAGGATTGCTTACATTGGAATAAAAGGCATGCATTGCAATTCCTGTGTTAACAACATTGAAGGGAACATTTCCTCTCTTTGTGGTGTGAAGAAAATCAATGTATCACTTGAGGAGAAGGAAGGAACCATTACTTATTCACCAAGGCACACAACTGGCAAGGCGCTAGCAGAAGCCATAGGTGAAATGGGCTTCGAGACTTCACTGAAAAGAATTGTAGATGTTTTAACCCAGCGTGAAGTAGCTTTGTCAGAGGACAGGGTTATAGACAATAAGGAAGCAGAGAGTTTGGAAAGTTGTAAAGAAGATGACTGTGAGGTGAAGATCTGCATCAAAGGGATGACTTGCCAGTCTTGCGTCAAGACCATTGAACAGGGCATGTCCAACAAAGCTGGTGTGAAAGGAGTAGAAGTCTCACTCAAAAATGAGGAAGCGGTAATTCATTATGACCCTTCGTTAACTGATCCTGAAAAACTGAGGGAAGCAATTGATGATATGGGATTTGAAGCCTCTCTACCCTCAGGAGGTGAAGTTCAATCTGTGTTGATTAATGTGGAGGGGATGACATGCAATTCTTGTGTTCAGACTATTGAGAAGAACATCTCCCAAAAAGAGGGCGTGCAGTCTGTTTGTGTGTCTCTTGCAGCCAATACAGCACAGGTGCGTTATACACCTGGGAAAATAAGCGCAGAGCAGTTGAGAGAAGCAATTGAAGACATGGGATTTGATGCACAGTTATTGGGGGATGATATCTGTAAGGTGAATAAGGATGTTCGCACTGCAAAGATAAGTGTGGAAGGAATGACTTGCATGTCTTGTGTGAAGACAATTGAAGGAACCATGTCATGTAAACCAGGCGTGAAAAGTATCAAGGTGTCGCTCACAGAGAAACAAGCTGCGATAGAATATGATGAGGCTGTGACAACTCCAGAAGACTTGCGAGCAGGAATTGAAGATATGGGATTTGATGCAACACTTGCTGAAGGTAAGCAAAACTGATAAGATAATATTATACTAAAGTTGTATTCTCATCATTTTTACCACTATGTGACCTTTGAAGTCAAAACCACTCTGTCAATCAAGGATTCTCTTTAGCAGCACAGCTACTGTAAAGAGGTTTTGAGGAGTGTAACATAATACTATTTTTGTGATGATTTTATATTTTTATAGTTGAATTTTTTTCTTAAATTTTAAGTTAATTACTAATGGAAATGTGATGAAGGAGTCAAAGCAATTTTGTCTAGCCAAATAATTTTAGGTGGTTGATTGACTTCCTTTTACCTGTTTTGAGTCAAGTGCTGTGAGGAAACAATGTCTCCACTGATTGTTAACCTGTTGTTGTTAACTATTACATAAAATATTAATTTTATGAAGTACAAGTAAAAGCTATGTTTCACAAAATGTATTGTATAGCTAAGCAGAGCTTGAAATATTTTGTGAAATGGCAGTTTCATTTTCAAAAATTTGTAATTGAAGATTGAGTATAAATCAAGGAATGTTTTGAGGAGAAAAATATTGGCTTGTGGTATGTCCAGAAGATTCACATTTAAGGGCACATGTGTAGCTGTTATTTATATTTCAAGTAAGTTGTTATGTTATGGATCAAAACCTTTTGAATTAAGTCACGTACACTTTGCTGTATAGTTTATTGTTTGATTTTTTTAATTTTCAAGTCAAAGATTTTTTGTGTGATTTTGTTTTGAGAATTTACTGGTTAAACCAACAAGACTACATGTAGTTTTCCCTCACTGATTTCTTGCTATAATCTCATAACATGTTATATGCAGTTGATATTGAGTTTCTTCCCAATATTACACTTTAGCCGATGTTAAAATAGTAAGTCAAGGTATTTAATAATGTTGTTACTCAAATTATATTTTCATTATAATTATTTATTTCTTGATTAAGTGTTGAATCCTTAAAATTGAACTTTTAAGGTTTCCACTTCTGCAGACATTTGCTGGTATTCATGGTCCAAAGTACACATTTATCATCAGATATGATGGCAAGATATGCGGCTGCATTGTAGAAGAGTTAATGTCAATAAGTGTCTTGCAAGCTTATAATATTAAACGTATTTTAGGAAATCATTGCTGCTTAATCTCTCTTGTAGCTTTCAACCAATGAACTAATGAGAAATCGCTCATTTATTGTAAAAAAAAAAACAACAACCTTACATGTATCTGCACTTTACTCTGACTTAAACTTATCCTATTTGCATGATTCAGTGCATTCAGAGTATGTGTTGTTGTTGTAGATGCAGGAGGATGTAAGAGTGAGGAGGGGGCAGTGGCTGTCCAAGAGAGCCCAGCAGGTGACTGGAGAGTGACTTTCAGCAGAAACGCCACCCAATTAAGAAGCATGGAGGCATTACTGCAAGAAGATCTGGACAAGATCTACCTCCACATCACCGGCATGACATGTGCTTCTTGTGTTGGCAGCATCGAAAAAGGACTGATGAAGAAAAAAGGTAAGGAATTGTTCTTTCTTTTTTTATGGATAGGCAAGGGTTTGCAGTGGTACTTTGCATACTTTGCTCTTATGCTCTTAAAAGGTACTTCATTGAAACTCAATGTGGGTGATCAGTGTGCAAATAAAGTCATGTCTGATAGCCCAGGACTAGTGGATTTTGCTATTGGGCTATTGAAGTCTGTTCTTAATGTGTCTGATGGTCAAATGAATTTTTTTTTAGGAAATTCAGATTACAGAAGAACTGTAATCAATCCTGCTCATCAAAATTTTTTTCGGACTGACTAACCCCTTTCCTACCATGGACTTATTAATACATCATGTTTGAGATCATTCAGCAACCCAGGACATAAATGTTACAGGTCAAATTTGATTTCAGGTTAAATTTTTTTAACCTAGGTAGATTCTCAATTTCCATTTTATCTAGCCCTAATTATTCATGAATCAGGGCCTTGGAAGCAAAGGAAATTGAGAATCAACCGAGGTTAAATCAAAATATATAGGTCTTCAGACAAATGAAATCACTAAGGTCATTCGAGTTGCCTGAAGAGATGAACTCCAGTGGTTGAGAAAGGTCTGGCTGGTTGCTGGGTGAATTTGGCTCTGGTAGGCAAGGGGTTAAAATGACTCTTGGGCTAGTACATGCTGCAGTGTAGCTGCAGCTTACCTGAATGGCAAGCTGTAAACTGACTTTCTTTGCTTCCTGGTGATATCCGGGCCAAAACTAATGGATTATAAATATTTGTGGTTAAAATAAGAAATCCTCAACTGTGCCAAAAGCAAGATGAGTGGCTGCCTAAAAATCTTCGTGGAAGGCCCAACAAGCTACAATGTAAGGCCAAAAACTGGCAAATTCGGACTGGAACCAAAGTGGCTTAAAAGCCATTAATTTTAAAAGCTGTAGATTTAATGTTTGATTACCAGCTGGTGGCTAGAGGTCAGGGTGTGAGAGTGGGTTGTTTTCCTGAATAGCAGCTAATAATAACTGAGCCTGAGCCCTTGTCGCAATTGGCAGCTTATTTCTCCTTGTGCTTACCCTATGTTTCACATGATTTTAACAGTATTGTTCATCCATCTTTCCTGCATTTTACTTGTTTGTGCAACACAAAAAGTGACTTTCTGTTGGGAGGCTCTGGCCCATGGTCCCTAAATCAACATTTTACAAACTTTAAATGGTTTCTTTTGCTGCAGGAGTAAGATCTGTCCTTGTTGGCCTGCTCGCACAGAAAGCAGAAGTCAAATTTGACAAAAATGCCATCACATCAGATGAAATCATCAGTCATGTCAAAGCAATGGGGTTTGGTTGTGACCTGATGGATAAAGTTGGCCAAGGAGAAGCCACCGTCGATATAATTGTGAGTTAAGTACATGTACTTTTATTGTATGAACTGAGTGTAGTAATTTTGCAGGAAAGGACAGTGTGTGTTGGTGAAATGTGATATTAACACACTGAGCTCCTTCCAGTTGCCCAGTATCATAATAACAATTACTAAATTCAAGGTGCAAGTTTCGTTGGATGCTGCTTGATGGGAAGCAACCGACCTTAGATTGTTACCTTTGTAAAGAGACAAAAAAATAAAATAAAAATAACTATACCGTAAACTGCTGCTTATAACACTGCAGGGCTTATACATCTTTGTAGTGAAAATAACCACCCACTTGGTTAGTATCGGCTGGCTACTCTTCTTGACATTTCTTTACGGATGGCGTTTTTCAAATAAAATATCCCTGGACTGGCCGCTTACTTTGACAACTCAGCCGTCTACTTCAAAACTTTCTGCCAACCCTGTTTCAGATGAATGGGTTTTACAAGGAAAATTGAAGGAGCCCAGTGCTTGAAACTGTAAAACTAGGGTGGACAGGAAAAATCTGAGATTTTCTTCGCCCGAGGGAACAAGCACAGCCCTGTAGGAGGCTTAATAACTGAATGGAAAATACATTTTGAACAATTTACTGGTTTTTACATTTTGCGTTTACTGGTTGCTAATAATAATTCAAATTCATTTCAATACATTTGGACGGGGCTTATAATCAGATGTTTTAATTTGTTCACAGGGAGATGGGGGGCCTATAACTGGGCGGGCTTATTGTCTCTTAATGGACACCGCTCAGGTTGTTTCAGGGGGCCAGTGGGTCATCGGAGAAAGCTGCCATCATGTGTTACCCTCTTTCATTATTAAATTAATCATTAATTGATGGTAATGAGTAATTCACTCACTCATTCACTCAGTCCAATGCTCATGCAGGGTCTTAAAAATAACTGTGGAGAATGCGCTGCCTTTGTTGTGACATCTGCAAATGGTTAGATTTTCTAAGCTTCTCAGATAAGGACGAAAAGCTGTAGGTCACGTGTCACAGCTCTTCCACTGTTCTGATTCTTTTGGGATGTAAAAGAACCCACACTGCTGTTCATAAAGAGTAGGGGGCATAGACCCTGGTGATGTGGTACAACCTTTCATGCGCTGAGTGAGGATCGACCGGGCTTATATCATTTGGGGTGTAAGTCCTGTTTCATCCCCTGTAGCCATGTTGAGTCACCATGGCAAATTTAATAATTGATTTTCTTATTGTTGTCCGACTTTTTTTATTCACATTTCAGATAACTGGTATGACATGTTCTTCCTGTGTTCATTCAATTGAATCAAGCATGAAAAAGAGACCTGGCATACTTGAAGCATCAGTTTCCTTGGCAACCAGCAGTGGTCGATTTGTTTACGACACAGAAACAACTGGTCCGCGTGATATCATAGAAGCTATCAAAAGTTTGGGTTTTGAAGCATCTTTGGACAGCAATGACAGCAAAAAAGATAGGATTGATCACTCAAAGGAAATAAAGAAGTAAGAAATGATACTACAGTGAAAAACAAACTTTTTTGCCTTACACGTGAGGGTGTCACCTACCACTAAATGCTTATTTATTTATATTCATTTACTTTAGCTTATAAACAGGCTACTTCTACAAACTCCACATTATACTTTGAAAAACATGCCTTGGGACAGCTGTTTGGAACTTTGAAGAAGTTGGTTACTCGCCATAATAAACTTGCTTAATATTACTTTTCAGATGGAGAAGATCATTTTTGTTTTCCTTGATATTTGGAGTACCAACATTTGTTATATTCATAACTTATGTGATCTTGGATGAGTTAGAAAAAAGGCCAAACCAACTTGTACTGCCTGGACTGTCCCTGGAGAATCTCCTGATGTTTATCCTGTGTACACCAGTTCAGGCATGTATCACTTATGTAACAACTCTAAAAAGTTTCATTTTTTGTGTTAAAGAAAGTTACATTAGTATTAGGAGCCCGCAATCCCAACCTCCAGGTTGCTTTTACCCATGTGGGGCACTTATGTAGCCAGCTTCATTAGCTTTGTTTCGATTTCCACTAAGAATGAGTGGAATGAAGAAAACGCCGGGTTTGATGGGGGGAATCTGATCATGCATGTTTGGACCTTCAATAACTTGGAATTTGATCATGCACACTTTGACCATATATCACGTAAAACTTACGTTGAGCACAGCTTTGGAGCAAAAGCGTTTTGACCTACAATCATTGTCGCCCACCCTCCGTAACCTACTAGTTATCAATCTTATAGCTGTAGGGTTTTAAAAGTTTTTCCTTAGAGTACTGGGGCCAAGACCAATTGCTTAAAAGCGATACATGTACTTATGAGTTTAGTTCAGTTCAGTCCAGTTTTATTTACATTTACATTTACATTTACATGTATTGGGTCAGTAACATCGTTAAGATATCACACCAACTGTAGCCAATTACAATTACAATTACAATTTCAGGGTTCTCAATAGAAGGCGGCACCCGGCGATTGATCGCCGCTTACTTTGGGATTTATAGCCGCTTACTTTGTGTTTAAGTTGCTTTTCTTTGCTTTGTTTTGACACCTCTGGCTTTGCTGAAGAGCCTCCTACTTTATCAGTGATCACCTCCTACTTAAAAATCTATTGAGAACCCTGCAATTTAGCCAAAGTAAATTACAATGCAAGAATACTTGTAAGAATTGTAAGTTGGCAAGGGAGCCCAGAAGAAACCAGATTGCTCATGAAGCCTGGGCTCCCCAGTCACAAAGAAACAAGTTATAAGTTCCCTTAATCTTGATATTTATGCAACCAGTCACACAATGTAACTAAATGCAGATTCTGGAAGCTGTGAAATCTTTGCTTGTGGAATCTGGAATCCTGGAATTGGATTCTGGAATTCAGCTCTAGGAATCCAGAATCCAGCTAACGATTGGAATCCGGAATCCAAATTCCACTGACAAGGAATTTGGAATCCAGTTTCCAAGGCTGTCTTGGATTACCTTACATCATGGGACGAAACCTGCCCCTTTACGGTAAATTGGAATATAAGAAGTTCAATTCCCGGGCCCAGAACAGAACTCGGGGTCTCACATCAATGAGCTAGTCCACAATAATGAAATTAATACTATTAGCATCTAGTACTGAATATTTTAACACTTTGCAAGAACATTTTAACATTACATTTTATTTGTATTTCCTCATCTCCCAGTTTATGTGTGGCTAAATGAAATTTGGGCTAAGTTGAAATGGAGACAATGCCAGCCATCAGTATTTTATTTGCTATTAGCAGACTCGCAAGGGAGTGGGGGGGGGGGGGTCTTTGGGATTTTACAGCATTTCTGTTGATGTGAGTCGATTATACTCACGTCTCTTTACACTGCCCATGCTCGCGGAGTGTTCTCTTCACTTTGGGATGGAGAATTCCGGTTCTTATGTGTCTAACCGTACAGTTTATCTCATTTTCAGGTCTTTGGAGGACAGCATTTTTATGTGACAGCTTATAAAGCCCTCAAACACAAGTCCACCAATATGGATGTGCTTATTATGCTGGCCACCTCAATAGCTTATGTGTACTCGGTGAGTTTGACATCAGTGAGTTTAGGCAACAGGACGGCAGGAAGAAGAGGACGGCAAAGCACTCGTGCGCGACAAACGTGACAAGGCTATTTAACTTGTGTGTTTTGTCATAATGCTTATGTTTTCTGGTCTTTTACAAAAAGATCTGTTTAAAGGGAAGTGTAGTTTGGCGAGATCTTATTTCAAACAAAATTATTGTCACGCTTGTCGCACAAGCTTTGCCATCTTCTTTCCTTTCCCGTCCTGTCGCGTAAGTTTACATTATCTGTCTGTGTACTTACACAGGGAGCCAACACAATCTATTTTTAAAACCAGTTATTTATCTATAGTGATATGTATGGATCAATGCTATATACATGTTGCATTGTCTTACTTATGATACATTGTCGCCCTTTGCCTCAGAAGTGGTACTTTGAGCGATTTTGAAGGATTTTGAGTTCACTGTCTACTTTTCCTCTTACTCTATTTAGAGGCACAGTAAAAGGTGAACTCTCAAAATCCTCTAAAATTATAAAAGGGCCCTCTGTGGTATTTAACGCTCGGGAGGGGGGTCCAAAATAAAAGTGACGGGGATGCTCGCCGGAAAACTCAGATGAAACCCCCAAGGGACACCAATGTGGGTGTGACTCAAGCTTAAACTGACCCCTAAAGGAAACCATAGTACAGATATCACGGCATTTTTTGTAAATTTCTTTATGCACAGCCCTAAGCAATACCTGAATGGGCAAATATGGTGATTTTCCGTCCCAAACATCCTAAGCGAGACCAAAATCTGCAATTTAAACCTCTAAGCGAGAGGACGAGCATCCCCCTCACTTTGTCACTTTTATTTAGGAGTCCCTCCTCCTCCCCCCTCCCCCCGGGGCTGCCTCCCAGGCCACTGATTAGATACCATTGTTGTCATTGTTATTTTTCTGCAAGAGGCCATGCTCCAACCTCGTGTGAGATGTAGATCTATCTTTGTCATTTCTTCCAGATTGTTGTTGTAGCTGTTGCCATGGCAGAACAGAGCAACCACAGCCCCATGACTTTCTTTGACACTCCACCCATGTTGTTGGTGTTTATCTCTCTCGGTCGCTGGATGGAACATGTAGCAAAAGGGAAGACCTCTGAAGCCCTAGCTAAGCTTTTGTCTTTACAGCCTTCGGATGCTGTCTTGGTCAAATTGCAACCAGGAACAATGAACGTTATAAGCGAGCAAGTGATCAACGTTGACCTGGTGCAGCGTGGAGACGTGCTTAAGGTACACAGAGTAATCTAGCCGTTGATTGGATCGTCACGCAATGCCCCCTCCAGAAAGGAGCGTTGTGTGACCACTTTAGGTGGCTCTGAGAACCGGTTATTGTGTATTTTTGTTGCTTGCTTGCGATTAACCTGTAATACGATTGTTCTTTTGTAAATCACACCATTAAATTATTGTGACGCTAAACTCAAAAGGTCATGCTTTTTTTAAGAATGGTGTAAAACCTTTTATAGCCTTTATAGTCGCCAGGAAATTTGTCCCTTTGGCGATATGAGGGACATTTCGCGATGGTGCAATTTAAGTCCTACGTTAGCTCTATTCATCAGTTGGTTTAACGGTTTTCACCATGCAGGGCTCTCTTCTTCCTTCTTTAGGTTGTCCCCGGAGGTAAAATACCAGTTGACTGTAAAGTACTTCAAGGAACTTCCACCGCAGACGAATCGCTGATCACGGGCGAATCAATGCCTGTCATGAAGAAACCAGGGGACTCTGTGATTGGCGGAACCATTAATCAGAATGGCTCTTTATTGGTGGAGGCAACTCACGTGGGTCAAGACACCACTCTGTCCCAGATTGTCAAGCTGGTGGAAGAGGCACAAACATCGAAGGTAAGGGAACGATGATTTCATTATTCTTTGTCATGACTGGCTCAGCCGAAAGGGCCAGTGCTGGAAAGAACCTCTTTAAAATGGCCGATTTTATTTCTCAACTCAAATGGTAAAAGAAAATTTTAGTATTTTTCTTGTGTCGTAAAACCTTCTTGTGGCGGTACCCTTCGCTCCTCCTCTTCCCTCTCGCAATCTCCATTCCCCATTCCCCCCCCTCGTCCTCCCCCTCGCCCCAAATAGGGAAACTGTTTGGAGTGTGCTGCTGCACTTACGCTATAATGTCAGGTACGTTGGGCAAAGGAAAACCCGAGTACCTGTCGTCACTGGAACCCAGTCTCCCAGAGTATCCGTCCGGTGTGTTTACCTGAACTGAACTCGCGTCGATAGCGTTAGCGTCCTAGACGTAGGACGATGTTTTCCCACCTCAACTCAGCGAACTTCAGCCAAACAATGTATTTGCAGTGAACTGTCGTTACGTAGTACTTTACAAAACCTGCGATCGTTACATTTCCATTCGTACATGACACGTGTAATTGTTACTCTTAAACCGTTAAGTTCGTAGTAATGCGTGTCAGTCATTGTTTTTGAAAGCTGTGACTGTGTTTTATAAGTTGGAAAGTTTCATTGACTTCATAGATATTGAAACCCTGAAGACTCTAGCGACTTTTTCACTGTTGCAAAACGTAGCTCTCTAAACGTCAAGAAAGAACTGAGTTATTCTCAGAAATACTTTCGTACTTTTTCAATGAAATGGCTTTGCAAAGCTTTTGGGCATCCCGCAATTCCCGTTAAAGCCTTTTAACAACATATACAACAGCCACTGAGCTCATTTGATTCTGCTTTGTTGTAAAATCTCTTTCAGGCACCAATCCAGAAGTTCGCTGACAAGTTGTCAAGTTATTTTGTTCCCACTGTTATCTTCATCTCCATAACAACTTGGGTGGTATGGCTAATTATCGGTTTTCATGACATCACCTTACTCCGGAAAACCTACAATGTAAGTGTCTCAAGTGTCGGTTGGTATACATGAAGTGGTTTGCCATGAAAGTCGCGTGATATTATTCTAGCCAACCACGGCAGACGTGGACAATCCAGTGAGCCAATGAGAACTCGAAGCAAATATAGCCTGTTTTAAGCGCGGGAAAGTGGCCTGCGACACAAGTCACGATGTCTCTTTGGTTTACCCTGATTCGTTAAAAAATCATAATCAAGCGCTGCGCTTGAGGAAGCACTCTATAGAAAAGGAGAATTATTTTGTCAAATACCGCACAGCCCTCAACGCCAATGCAGTGCCTATTCGAGAAGTATAGAAGTAAAATTGTAAAACTATTTACGTAATTGCGATGTCGTCAAGAACGGTAGTACTGTATAATATTGAATTTTGTTCAGTGCTATTGTTGTTCGGATATATTGCCCTTTTTACTGGCTCCATATTTACTTTATGTTGAGCGCCATCCTTAAATATGTTCTTCAAAATAGATGTAACCTATATGATAAATCTCCCTATTCTTAGCTAATATGTAGGTCGTGCAGGGTATCAATTTTAATTTCAAATTTTGTCCTTTTACTTAATTTCTTCCTTATTATTACCCCCGCCTCGTAAGCTAACTGGGGTTTCGTGAAATTATATTTCCCCTGTGATGTCCTGCGGTTTTCTAATACAACCGGTATTCTGCAAACAAAAAACTATGTGGTTTATTGGCGTTGAAGAAGAGCAAGAGACGAGTGCACCCCCTCCTAAAAAAAAATCCTGGATCCGTCCCTGAAATGTTTCCTTTCTCCTTTTCAGTCTACCTTTATTCCTTGTAATCTGTTTGATGTGTTGAATAATTATCGCGTACTAAAGTGAAGTAAAGTACTAAAATTGTTTGACTGATCTCCGACGCGCTTTTTCATGACAATGCCATATTGCTTTAGGTTTTAACAGCGCGGAAAAAAGTCCATGGTAATCATTATTATTCACATCTTAATACGATTTTTTGTTTTTGTTTTATACTTTCACAGGCTAAAGATGATAACAGAGTGGAGTTTGTATTTGCCTTTGCCTTCCAGATTGGTATCACTGTGCTGGCTATTGCTTGCCCATGCGCTCTTGGTCTGGCAACTCCAACAGCTGTAATGGTGGGTACTGGAATAGGAGCACAGAATGGGATATTAATCAAAGGAGGTGAACCACTGGAGACTGCACACAAGGTAATAAAATGGTTTCATCAGTTTATCATGAAATGTTCTGTGACAGGCCAAGATTGTTGCTAGTTGTTGCATCCGTCAGCACACCAATGGAGACCTTTAGATTCAAGGACTAGGACGAGATTTGACTTGAAGTTTTTTCGCGTATTCTCAAAATATAGACCCCCAGGAAAGCTTCATTTTACCATTTTCACTTAAAAAGTTAGCACTGTTATCTTTAGTGAAGGAGGGTACGCCCTCTCCCGATCCCAAATGATCTTGATAACTTGTTTCCGCCACTTTGACATTCTCGTAAGACTCGTAGTAGAGTGACGACGGCTACCACTTTTTCCCGCCAAAATGACGCCGGTTCACGCGCGAGCACTACTTAGTATTCTTAGTTTGCACGTGACATCACCAAAAATCAAACTAAGAAACTATCGATTCTTCTGAGTTTCTACTTTCACGAGGTATTACAGTACCTAAACACCTTTATATAAACAAATTTTTGGTTTGAAAGGGTTCTTCGTTTTTCGAGAGAGGACGCTTGAATTTCCAGGCTTTTGAGTGACGCGGCATTTAGCTGGCGGTCGGGAAAGCTCTTATGTGGGTTAAAAACATTACCGATTGTGGGAGATTTTGTTATCTAAACATTCCTTGTCTCAGAATAAATATTACTTTAATCTTTATGAATTCCTCAAGGGAAGAATTCATGCGTTAGTAGGAAAACTCGAAAACAGATGTTTCTGTTGGTATCCGGCGGCCATATTGGTGTCCCTGAAAGGGACAGCAACATGGCGTTTCCATAAAAAGCTTTATAAATTTAGGTAAACAGTTTTTCGGAATATCTCGCGTTTGAAATATTGCACAGACTTGATTCTTGGCAAGGCTTTTTGTATATTTATCTTCCTTCATTTCCCAGATTCTAGACCTTCTGTCTTGAACGGTTTGCATTTGTATTTTTTATTGCGTGACAGTGCAAACCCGAGAATTGAGGAAATCTCGTACTCGTTGTCGTACTCGTCTTAAAGCTCTCTACTTCCAGCACGGACGCAAGAACTCTCAACAGTGTGGCCCAACAGTGTTGGGAGTTGTTGCGGCCGTTTGCACGCAGCTTGAGTAACCATAGGTTGCCGTTTAATTTGCTGTTAAACAATAGAACCAGTGCTGTTCGAGCTTTAAATTTCATAAGCTTCACCATCTTTTCGCATTTTCAGGTAAATACTGTAGTCTTCGACAAGACGGGCACCTTAACCCACGGATCTCCTGTAGTTGTGAAGACGGCCTTGTTTGTGAAACCAGCTCAGTGTAGCTTGGAAATGCTGTTGGCTGTAACAGGCACTGCTGAGAATCACAGTGAACATCCTATTGGTTTGGCCATTACTAATTATGCAAAGCAGGTGGGTTTACCCTTTACCTCCTGGGCACAAAACTCAATTTAGAAAATGTTTTCACTTTTTTTTTTTCTTTTAAAATGCTGAGAAACAAACAGTACCATTCAACGGTACTTCCAAAGAGTTTTCACATGAATGGCAACATCATAGGATCTTGTTCACAGACGCAAATGTTAGAACCACATGAACAAATAGTACCATGTGAAAGTTCTGTTGAATGGTCACACAGTAGCATTTCATCCACAGACTCAAAATTTAGAACTACATGCTAAATAATACCGAGATTATGAATTCAAACCGTTGTCTTGAGGTTTCGTTTGGTAAAAATGTTTTTCTGGCTTTACGAGGCAAACTAAAAAGGTATCTTTCCCCAAAAACTTTTAGTTGGTTCTGTTTACTTCAAAGCACGTGTTTGATTGATCATGTTTTGGAATAGGAATCTCATGAAATGTTGTTACAAACCCCTCAAACCAACATTCCACTGGAATGTCCGTACATCTTGATATTGTGTGTCCACATTTGCCCACATCTGGGTAGTGACCAGGGGCGGATCTAGGGGGAGGGTGCAGGGGGTGCGCACCCCCCCCCCCCCCTGAGATGACCAGCGGTTTTCTAATACAACTGGCATTCTGCCAAAAAAAAATGAACTATGTGGTTTATTGGTGTTGAAGTAGAGTAGGAGACGAGTGCACCCCCTCCTAAAAAAAATCGTGGATCCGCCCCTGGTGACACGTGATCAGTTTGGAATTTCTGCGCTCGTTCCTCAAACGTTATTTCGCTGGGAAAGCACTGGTGGCGTCGCAAAATGTCGGCTGTTTTCTCAGCCTATGTGTCAACCAGGGCTGGTAATTTGACGGTGCAATAAACCCTTTTTATAAGACGGTATTTTTATTGTTATTCCAGAATACCGTCATTAGCTTACCTAACTATTGTTAAATAACGTTTGATATCTGTTCATACAGTCGAAGCTCTCCTTGCGAGCACCCTCGTAAGCCACCACCTTTGTGAAACCCCGTTTGAACTGTAACTTAAACTTTATAATGAAAAGCTCCCGACTGCTCCTCTAAGCAACCGCGACCACTTTTGGGATTACCCAAATGGACTTTGCCTTTGTTTTGAAGCTCTCGTAAGCGACCACTTAGACCCGATAAAACAGGAACTGATGTAGTTCAACTCATTCTTGCACTAATATTTAGATCTGGGGTAATTTTGGTGTAAAAAATCGGGCGTAAATTTTTGCCGTGTCTATATCAGATATGAAGACACTCATAAAACATTAAAAAATGTTGTTTTTTCTTTATGAATTATTAGTGAGGTTTTGAAGCTCTTGTAAGCGACCACCCTTTATTGTTTTACCGTGCTGTCGCTTACGAGGGCTCATTCTTGTAAGCGACCAGCACCAGCTCTAGTTACGACCACTTTTTTGAATTTCCGAGTTGGTCGCTTACCAGAGCTTCATGTCGTGAACTGTATTTCCTATTAACAGGAGCTCCATACTGACGTTTTGGGCCAGTGTGCCGAGTTCAAAGCTGTTCCTGGGTACGGGTTAACCTGCAAGGTCAGCGGTATAGAGGAGTTAATCAAACCTAAATCTGTTACGGACAAAAACAAGAAAAACCTGGCAGTCAACATTGGTGGAGCAGTGATTGATGAAAGCTCAGATATTCACACTACGTCAGCGATTAGTGGAAATGACAATGGTGAGTTTATTTTAGAAGTAGGATCACAGCGGAAGTGATCGAATGTGGACAAAAAAGGTCAAATCTTCCAAATATCCCTGCGGCTAACACGAGATTCGAAAAAATCCCCTGAATCAAAAATTCCCCATCCCCTCCCCCCCCCCCGCCTTCATTGCAATTTTTACCATGAATTTTGTCATCCAGGGGTTTCCTCCCCATAAAATATTTGCAGAAACGTCTTCCTCCCCTTTTCAAAATGTCGCGAAACCCCCTGAAAATAGCCTTCACTGTGGTCAAAATGTTAAAACAAAGCGTGACCCACAGGTCATTTTTCCCTAAAACACAAAGAAATTCCTTTGACTGTTCTACATGAAACAGGGGTCCGATCTCCCAATCTATGATCGCACCAATACATCAGTTGACAAATTACTGCCGGATCTAGAGAATGTTGTCCACTGCACTAGTGCCAACACCACAGGGCACCCACACAAATTGTGTAACTGTTGTAAAGTTTGAATTTAGAGGAAATGTATGGGAATATCGAAAAAGTTTCATATTATCGTGATCGGTGAATTCTTATGTATAAGATTAAAATGAACATCTTTTTACCTGAAATGTTTAGCATTGTCGTTTTTGCAGCTGAAAACGACGAATTATAACGATTTGAAGGATTTTACATTCGTCGTTTCCCTGACCGTATCAACGAATGTATAACCCTTAACCTTGGTAGTTCCGTTTCAGGGTATGTTAATGTTGCGTCTTCTGTCACGCTTATCCGCAAGTTTGTAAAGACGTAATCTCTTTTTTTTTGGCTGAATTTTTATCGAAATGTAGTAAATGAACCTTAATTTTGCAGCTGAAAGTTTGTTAAAGAGCCAAGTTGAAGGCGCCGAACCATGGAGTTACCATGTGGTAATCGGTAATAGAGATTGGATGCAACAGAATGGCTTGGAAGTCACTGACGAGATGGAAGAAGCCATGCAAGAGCATGAAGAAAAAGGACATACTGCTGTACTGGTGGGCATCAACGGTAAGCAGTGAACATAGCAGAAACATGCGCTGCGGTGGAAGTGACGCTTGAACCAGGTCCTTAGTATCCTGGTCCTGGCCTCAATTAAAACTTCCGTTTTCTTTAATGTTCTCACTAGTGCACCTCATTTCTGGTTTTAAAATGATGACGTCAAAGCGCATGTTTTCCAGGAAGTGGACATCGCTTAACATCCACCCTAGGTGACAGTTTAGTTGAAGCTACTGAGCAAGTAGTTTCCTTTCGTACTGTTTTTTTACTCTGCTAGAAGCTAGATGAAAAAGATGGAAAAGCTAGATTTATTCTCATCGTTCAAATAAAAGCTACTAAGAAGAGCTTTCAATCCTTTGGCGATGTTTCTTGCGCATACGCTGAATAAAGTGGTTCGTTTTTTTCAAGGGTCGGACTTAGGCCTGTTTACATGGAGGTGTGGGACCCTAGGTAAGAGAGGTAACACGCCTAGGTGAGGTAACGCGCCTGTCCATATAATCTCTTATTTAAATTTGATCACGTTTGCATGATAGGTGGAGTGACCATTTTAGAGATTTTATGGACAGGCGGGTCACCCCACCTAAGTGGGTTACCTCACCTACCTTGAGTAGCCCACCTCTATGTAAATAGGCCCTAAGATCCTACAGTGCAACCATTCAAATAAAAGTTATTAAAATTATTTTTATTATTATGCTTTACAAGTTGGTGCTGACTTTTTCAATTCCGAGACTGTGAATCAAGTTTTTCTCTGGAACCTATAAAAAAATATAAAAGCTGCCGAGCATAACTTTGCTTTAGTGTTTTTAGTTAAGGGAGTGAACACTGTATAACGTAATGATGCTTCTTCTTGTAGGGTCACTTGTGGCTATGATGGCTGTAGCAGACACAGTTAAACACGAGGCGCAAGCTACAGTAGCTACTCTCAAGAGGATGGGAATTAGGGTTGTGTTGCTCACCGGCGATAACAAGAAGACTGCTTTCGCTATCGCCAAACAGGTAACTTAGATGGACATAAAATACAGCCTTAACCTTTTTAGTGTGTGGACAAGGTGCTACCGTGTAACCATTCAAATGAACCCATTCAGCAGCCATGGAGTATGTATATCCTGCCGATAGTAACAACAAAACATTTTATTTTGCCAACTTAAAAAACGTTTGCAAAGAACAGCATAAATTAAAATAGATCAGGCGAAAAAAACTACTCAGAATAGCAAAAAGAACTAAAAGAGCTGAATAGTTACAATAGATACGGATTGAAACTTGAAAAAGTTGTGCAAACATTTTCAAGAAAATACTGTGGTTAGAACTCCCTGATGAGATTGGATTGCTCTCTTCTTCATAACTTTACAGGCCGGAGCATTTTGTGTGTGGGTAAAGGTATTAAGCAGTGACTTTAACACAGCAATATCCTCGTGACTTATTAGCCCCTTCAATGGGCGTCATCCTTTAAAACTGTGAAGGAGCTCAAGGAACTCTTTAGTTTAAAAGCATTTCATATTAGTCGTAGAACTGAAGTGGAACATTGTGCTCTAGAGGAATTCGAAGTGCGTGAGGCGTGTCAGCCTCCCATCCATTCTTTTCGTCGTGCCGGAGTGGTTATTTCTGGGTCGAAGTAGCCTCTTCATGGCGCCATAATGAGAATGCCTGAAACAATAATACATAATAAGATCTACTCTCATGGGCACCCTGTGGCTAGTGCGTCTCACCCGATCTGTTTCCTACCCACAGGTTGGCATACAGCAAGTTTTTGCTGAGGTTCTTCCCTCGCACAAAGTAGAAAAGATTCGTTCCCTTCAAGACCGAGGTTTTATTGTTGCCATGGTTGGAGATGGAGTGAATGACTCACCAGCGCTGGCTCAAGCTCACGTGGGAATTGCCATCGGTACCGGAACAGATGTGGCTGTAGAGGCTGCTGATGTCGTGTTAATCAAGGTAAGATAGTGATCAACATCTTTTTCTCCTTATAACAAACAGGAACACCCTTTCTTAGTTCTTAAGCCCTGGCTAATCGATCAAACATTTTCGTCCATCTTTGTCCCACGCTCGTGACATGCTGATTAATTCATGTTCACGTTTGTTTCATGCACCGAGCTTAAAATTTACCATCTTTCATTCTTTCACTACACAGTACGACATCGACATTGCTGATCCTTGCAGTATGCAGGACGCGTGTCAAATATGAGCGTAGTATATGGCCTCGCTCTCCATGAGTTCTCCGTAGCTCAGGTGGATAGAACGCCCACCTGGTGTTTGGGAGGTCATAGGTTCGAATCCTGTCGGGGACTCAGATTTTTTCTTCTTCTTACGCTCGGGACATGCTGGTTAATTCATTTTCACATTTGTTTCACCGAGCTTAAAATTTACCATCTTTCATTCTTTCATTAATTTTCTCGTTTCCACCATGGGTCGTATTACGGACTCACAATTGGCCTGCCCTCTCTCCAGTTGGCTTGAATAGCTCATTTCGTTTAGAGCGTTATGTCGGCATCCGCAAAGACAAGGCTTCGATTCCCGGTCAAACCTCAAACCTTTCTTTTGTTCTTAAGGTTCTTTTTCAACCGCCTAGGTTGTTCATTTAACCGCGATGATCACTTCAAATTTCATATCTTGGTCGCACTTTCCACATGATTTATTTCGTTTATTTAAGCAATATAGAATAGAATACATTTAGACCGAGAGTCCGCGGGCTATAGTGCATTAACAGTTCTTGGGACCTTTCTAAAACCATCTGGGACTAGAAATGGGTCGACTATCATCCATACAGAAATCGAGCTGTACTGTTTATCAAATGTGCACGTGACAATCGCGAAAGTTAATATGGGATATGATCAATACACTGTTTCTGGCAGCACTGTAGCTGTCGAACTTACTTTTGTTGCTTTCCTATATCACTTGCAAACACTCGTCCATGGCCTCTCGTGCCATTCTTTGAAATTTTTTTGAAGAACGGTGTACTTAAAACCACCCACAATACCTTTCGGGATTGTCGCTTTCGACAACCTTTCTCGAACAGTATATACACTCAACTGTGTCTTAACAGACACTTCTGTAAAAGGGACACCTAGAGTTGGTCCCTGCCTTTCTTTAATCCCTTTATTTGACTCTGTGTAAGACGGACATCTAGTGCTGGTCCTAAAGGTGTTCGTCTTAGAGAGAGTTGACTATATACATTATTTAGTAAAATCCAACCAGTGGTCTATTATCAATGCTGCGTTCAGATTAGTTGAGCTACTACTAGGCTATATGTTATAGCCCACTGGCAGAGAAAAGCGCCGGCTTCGAAAACCAGAACAATGGCGGCTGAATTGCGCTTTGCTAGCTAAAGTTTTGTCTCGATGTTTTTGACCAACTAGTTGGATTTTACTAAAACAATTGTTCCTCTCGCCCTCTTGGCCTCTGAAAAAGGATCAGATACCTTCGGCCTCATGGGCTACTGACTCAAAGCCCATTGGGGCTCGAGGAATAATGGTTAAATATCTTATGTATTTTCCCTTTCGACATTGATATCGTACTTGTTTGTTCTTAGAGTGATCTTATGGACGTCGCTGTGGCAATTGACCTTTCTCGAGTAACAGTCCGAAGAATTTACATCAACTTCTTGTTCGCTCTTATCTACAACATGATTGGCATTCCATTGGCAGCTGGAGCGTTTGAGCCTTTCGGCGTGGTGATGAAGCCGTGGATGGCTAGTATTGCAATGGCCGCTTCCTCTGTGTCTGTTGTTGGTTCCTCACTCATGCTTAAACTGTAAGTTAAAGTGTCAAAGTGTTGTGCATAAGAATCAGTAGCCTGCGAGCAAGCTCTCAAATTATGGTGGGCGAAACGAGCCGCAGGAAGCGGAGGAATTTATTGTTGCAAGCTCTCCCTTTCTTTAAAATAAATCACAATTTTGTGATGCGAAACTAGCCAAAAGTGCTAATTATGCTTTTTTTAAAAAAGTAGGTGAAAATTATGCTCGTGACGACCAATTATGCCGAAAAAAAATATTATGCTAGCCCAATCTATCAAAGCTACTCAGTTCTTTGGTCCTTGCCGTTGTGACAGTGCTATGGGCTTCCCCGCGTTTTGGGCATCCCCATTCCCAAAACCCTAGTGATAGGGGCATCCCCTGTAACCCTAACCATAACCCAAATCGCGAAGGTAATATGAGAGGGGATGTCCATATTACTGCAAGAACACACCGGAAAAACAGCTATTTCTGTCTGTTGCGTTATACTACACTGTCAGAAATATCATGATCTGTCGTGGGATACAAACAGCCCATGCAAGTTTGAGAGATCTATTCGACCGGCAAGGTGATTTTACTAATATAGATCGAGAAATCGATCACCTAGGCGCTTGCAAAGTACACTGACTATATACATCCTTTTATCTCTTTCTTTACTAAAAGGTACAAAAAGCCTGATCCATATGATGGAGACCTGGGCTCCAGGAATCCATTCACCGGTTACACGATGCTGAACACGGCTGCTCCAAATGACTCATCCGACAGCCAATCTGATGGCTTCTTTAACAGAGTATACAGAAAACGATCTCGATCCAGCTCCAACCCAGTGGAGGCAAAGAAAATAACCTTCTACGGCGAGGACGCCTAGCTTGATTGTGTAGATTTCAGTTTTAAGTAAAGAAACAAAATTAAGACGTGAGAAATGAATCTGGAATATAAATTGTAGAAGACATTAGTTCTTTTGCGGAAATTGAAAGCTTAGTCTTTTTAAATGTAGAGTTTTTTCGAGGCATATCACGACATTCCCGTATTTCGTTGACGAAAAAGAGAACATCTGGGTGCCTTTTTTTGGAGTTGGTAAGGGAATAGGTCGCCCCGCCTGTGCAATAAGAGAGAAGACAAAGAATTCTTCGCATGGTAATGTTCAGTAAATAAATAGTTTTGGGCTATTGATTTTGAGGTAGATAGGTTTTTCTAACATTTGTGAAATAGATTTTCTAGGTGGAATTATTTCACTTTGGTTCATGGAGGAAGTTGGTCCATGATATTCAATTTTTTTTTAATGTTATCTTTTTTCTGAAATGATTTGTCGTTATGTATCCTAGAATTAAGAAAAGTAACATGCGACGAGAGTGAAGTGCTGTAACATACCTCAAAGACGTTAAAACAAACAAGTTAAAGTTCCCGTTTACAGCAGAGAAAGTAGTCTGAGCAGACAGGGACGCGACGCCACCAAAGATTGTCGTCATTTTGCTTGGAAGCCAGTGGTGGCGTCTCGAAATTTCGGTTGTTTTGTCAAGCTATTATATAGTTTGAGAATATATATTAGAAGAATAAGAAAATTTATATTTGCGGTTGCTGATGTATTTACGTAAAATTTGTATCCGCTGGCCTGTCAGGTTGGCGATAGTCTCTAATAGTCGCTGTTATTACAATTGAGACAGCGGTAAAAAATCCCTTTGTTTATAGACGCATGCAAACGAGGTTAGTCTGTTAATAGATTAGAGCCTTCCACGTGACGTCACGGTCGCCATATCTGGGTTCTAAAACAATGAAACTGGAGCCATGTTCCAACTCAATCCTGTTTTCTTGTGTAAAAGCTTCATTTGCTCTAAGAAATTTGCATTGATGTTGGCCACGTGAGTGAAAACGCGTGTATAGACTAACCTTTACGCTTTTTTCCATGGCAAAACTGCTGGTATCTGTAATAGCAGTTATTTTGTGATTACTTAACGTAGGTTTTGCATTGCTGCGCTTTTGTGATATGCTGAAAAATCTCCCGCCATTTTCTAGTTGTTAGCCAATCAGGACAATTGACAATGGAGATAATATCTAAGCCTTTTCGCCATATATTCTGACGCAACTTTAGTCAACACCGTCAAAATACTCGGGTAGGCTAGACTGCGGCTAAGTCTAAGATTCTGGTTTGAATAACCGGAGCATTAACCTTTTTGCATTGTTTTCATCATTTGTTTAAAATAACTGTTACTTCTTAAAAAAAACAAAAAACAAACAAAACAACAATGAAAGTAAGAAACTAGTTTAGAAATAAATAAGTGAGTGCCACAAAATGAAATATGTATTTTACTAAATAAAATATAATAAAGCTGAGCAGAAAGTCAATCATGCATTTTGATTTATGTTGAAGAGGAGGCCTGTGTGTCAGCAATGAGCTAGACTTTGTACCACATAATTATCTACCACAGGTGTCTGTATGTACTTGTGGATTAAGAACCTACAGGCTAAAACTTGGAGATTGGGCCCCTTTTATATGGAGAAAAGTTATCCCGAGAGGGAGGGTCACGCTCCCAGCCCTGTCAACTTTAGCGATCGTCTAGGGACCGGTTATTTTTCATCGCCTGGGGAAGGAAATTTAGCCGATCCCCCCTTTGAATGTAACTTCACTGAAGTGATTCCCCCTAAGACTTTAGATGATTGTCGCGTCCCCCCCCACACATGTCTTCATTTTCCGAGCAAATTTGAGTGGTCCCCCCTCTGAATCCTTCCAAAGTTTTTCAGCCATCCCCCCCTTTTGTTCTCCCAAAAATCAAGTGATCCCCCTCTAATCCTCCCCCCGCAAGCGATAAATAATAACGGGATAGGATAGGATAAGTGCTTTATTATCAACAGAGCGCCTACAGACACATGTGTTTACAATGATAACAAAGATTTTCGTGCAATAACGGGTCCCTAATATGATACAAAGATTTTCGTGCAATAACGGGTCCCTAATATGAGAAAAAAGTTGTTCCCGCCAAGCAGCAGATGACAACAGCACTCGCGCATGCTATGATTCTCTCCCCGTGACTGAGGAGGTAAGACCAAGGTGACCCAGGCTGGGCGAGCCGAAGTGTTTAAATGGAGAAAAGTCGGCCTGGCTATGAGGGTGACCCTAGCATTAAAAAAGGGTCACCCAGCGAGGGGTTGGGGGGGGGGGGAAGGGTCACTCTTCTTGCCGATCCAACTATCAGTGTTTCTCATGTTAACGGTTCGCCATGTTTTGTAAGGAAATGTAAGAAAAGTTTCTTTCAGGAAGCTAAATAGTAAAATTGTATACCCTGTTTAACACTCAAGACCCTGAAAAACATATCGTGTTCAGCGGCACATACCCGTTAAGGCCAAATGAGGGAGTACTGCTACGCAGAGAACAGGGAGAAGATTATTAAACTAGGCAAAATATCGATAGGGCCCCCCTGAGACATTATGTTTCGCTCTTGTTCGCAACTCATCAAAGTGTAGCAAATGCAATATATAGTTTTTGCTTTAGAATTCTCTGCACAGAGGGATCCCTAACGAAAATTCATCATTTTGTCGCTAATTGCCTAAAGGCACGTCTGTACACAGGCTACCTAAGGGACTTGTCAGAAATTAGCAGGGGGGGAGGGGGCTGGAAACAGAGGAAGGGTCACAACTTTTTGAGACTCAGAAAAGGGAGGGGTCATGAAAAATGGGCCGTTCAAAGGGGGAGGGTCATGCAAATATATGCCCGTGATCATGTAGAGGTTCACCCACAGAAGAAAAAGCAAGTTCTTTATTTGTTATAAAAGTAACAAAAAACAAGGGCAACGGAACATTATGGATATAAACTGTGAAGTACTATAGCAAGAATTTAACAAACATCTATTTTTCATTTATAAAATGCTATAGAGTCTTACTGAAATTATGAATAATCTCGTTGTTAATGTTATCAGAGTTTTGGCTATCCTATTCATCACTGCCTTCAGCATCACCATCAATGCTGCTGTGAGCATCTTGATCATCATCATTTTTGTCATCAGCATTGATACAATCACTTTCATCATCATCATCATTTCCATTTAAGTTGAAGCGTAGATATTGCTTGATAATTTCCTGTGATTCATTGGTGAACAATACCTTCTCAAAGGCATATTGGATATATGGCCTTTGTGTTTTAAGGAGCTAACTTATTCCTTCATAATGAAGAGATAACGGGCCAATGGGCTCTGTAACATCATGCGACTCTTGTTGAGGTGCAATGGTTTCAATAACTCTTTTGCAGTTAGCTTCCATTCTTGTTGCCCTACCTCTTTTTTGCTTTCCTTTTATTTTATTTTTTTCCTTTTTTTCCTTGTTGGCTTGGAATACTGCAACGTAAAGACCCTGGGACATTTTTCTTTCAATTCTGTAACGTGGGGAGGGTCATGATACTTTAGGCCAAGCTCAAGGGGAGGGTTAGCAAATTTCACTCCCATTGCAGGGATGGGTCACCTCATTTCCGAACCCCAGTTTAAAATTCCCACCCCCTCTCCCCCCGCTGCTAAGTTCTGACAAGTCCCTAAATGATCATGAGTACGGTTTCCCCGGTGGACTCCCGAGGAGACCACGGACGGGCTCTGGGGACGAAAATCGTTCGACATGAAAGATGCGTGCGCACAAGTTTTGAAGGGTAACGCAAGACAGTTCTAATGGCGGCGGGAACTTGCGAAGGTCGTTTATTTACCATGTTTTAGCAACGAGAAAACAGCGATCTTTCCGTGATGAATCATTCCAACTCGGCGACTAGTTACAGACCGTCCAGGCCTATGTTATGTCGTTATTACAATGCGAATGGATACTGTTTTTATGGCGATCAGTGTCAGTTTGTCCATGCGAAGCCTCCTTCGAACGACGTTCGTACTGGTATGGTAATACGAAAATTTTTATTGTCTCCCATGTATTTGATTTAAAACAAATTTCCTCTGTTGCATGCTTTCCCCTGGTCGCTGCACAACATGATTTGCTTTAAGGTCCCTATGTACGCCTGGTGTCAGTTTGGTCTTTGAAACCTGTAAGCTAAATATCATCCTAGCTGGTTGGAGTTCGTGATTGGGCTTCAGTTTTAACTTTTTTAAAACGTTACATTGCTTTTTTAAATGTAAGGCCGCTGCGAGATACTTGTACATCCTTTTAAGTTGGCTTGTTTATTTAATCCAGGCTGCTTCGTGTAGAAAAATGGATCTACATGTATCATTTTATTTTGTGTGCATTCGTTGGTGATGCGTCCAGGTCTGTTAATGTTTAATACAGAGTGGATTGAGTTTACAGTTCTCTCCTTCTGTTTTTTTTTTCCCCTCGGGTGATTCACTCCTTGAAAGTAAAACAAATAACCGTTGACAGTGTTCTTTCAATTGTCATTATTTCGAAAAGAGGCAATGAAAGGATTTGCATTTCATTTAAACTTAATGCACAAATGAATAAAATCCATTGGTAGCATGCATTCATACAGAACTGTTCATGTGTTTTCCATTGACAGTCTGAAATTAACGTAAGCTGCGAGCCTGCTGTATTACAGTATAAGCTGAGCCGAGATCTTCTTCAATCTCAATCCAGCTGTCTTGAATAAAACCCCGTTTACATGTTACGCCTGTGTTGCGAAAACCCATAAATCTTGAAATACATGTACCAGTTGTATTGAAAATTAATTTTTTCGGTGTACTGATGAATTTTACATCTTAACCCTTTAAGCCCCAATAGTGATCCAAATGCAATTTCTCCCAACAAAATAACACTGTCTGATCAAACAGACTGGTTTTGAAAATGAATGAAGTGATCACCAGTGATGAACTGTTGTGATGGTAGAACAAATTCTCTCCAGTAGTACCATAAGGAATGTATGAAGAACAGTGTGGAGAAGATGTGGTGGGGCTTAGAGGGTTAATTGCAAACTCCTTAATGCTTAGCATTATTTGTTTACTCTCTCAAGGTATTTTCCAGAGGGCCATAGTAAAGACCATTATTTTCATTTAGATGCAATTGGCTGACATCAATACTATGTGACTGCTAATGTTATACCATTCCTTGAATAAGCACATTGGCCATGTTTTTATTTTCCTTTGTTTAGAATTTTTTTAAACAATACTTTGTTATCATTTTGCTTTGTCTACAATGAGTTGAAGACAAAGGAAAATAGAAGTGCTGTGCAAATTTCAAGCACAAGTAATGTTTGAACCACACCATATACTCTTGCTTATTTAACACAATTACAGCTACAGACAAGAACTTTAATGTTGGAAGCAATAATGCATTTCATAGAAGCTCATCACTGCCAGCATTTAATTCTGCTGTCAACAATGGCCCTCTTGGTTCAAAGGGCTTGCGAGGTGATGGAGGATTCAAGAGCAATGCCTTGGGAACATCAACAAATGATAGCTTTGTTAGCGGAATGGGACAGTTGTCAATATCAACAAACAAGGTACCTATTAAACAGTCCATAACCACTCAATTCAGCATAATGAAAAATATCATTCATCCTGGTTTGTGTATGATGGGGCTTCTTTATCATTAAGTGATAAAATAATTAAATGATTTTGTCCTGCAATAGTTTCTTCGTTCTCGATCACAATGTTTTGAATGCTTTAATTACTACAGGTCTTTATTATGTTTAAAATGTATCAATCACCAATGACCATGTTGCTACAAAAATTATTGATGGCAGCATGATAACCCCTTACCAGTGGTCTTTATGAGGGTTAACGATAGTTTCGATACAAAGTCATTTCAATTCAAGTTGTTTTGTTACAAACGTGTTCAATCAAGTTGTCTGTAGTTTGAAGATTTGAAGAAATATTTTTAGATCCAGAAAGTGACAAGCTATTACAGAAAAGTTAAGCACCAGGGACTAATTTATTAAAACTTTTACAAGTGTAAAAAACGTAATTTACAAGTGTAGCTATTGTTTTAGAGTCTGAAGACAACAGCCACACTTGTAGATTACACTCGTAAAAGTTTTATTAAATTGACCTCAGAAATAATAACTTCTGAGTCATCTGTTAAGTTCATGTATATGTCACAAAGAAATTTCCACTGTGGGATTAAAAGATAATGACACAGATACAAGTCTCTGTTTTTGTATGTGCTCCTGGAATTATAACAGAAAACATGGATCAGTACAGTGGTCTTGAGTAATTTATTTAGTGGCCAGTGAACACAGATGTATTTCTGGTCGCCGCTTTGTGCCCCAGAAAAGTACCGTTCAGGTGGAGAGAAGCAACGATGGAAATACATCTGCATATGCAGGCTATATGAATAGATGTGTCTAGGAATTCGTACCCACAGACCCAAATGCGGTAGCTGAATATTGTGATACGATATAACTCACTTAAAGTGAGTGATATACGGGTACTTGTACATTGAATAATAATAATTATTGTCTATCTATGCAGAAGGAAATGATTTTTTATTTCTCATTACAGATAGCTCCTGGATCCCTTGGAGGACACGGGTCTCCTATGTCTCCATCGAAGAGGGCATTCACATCATCGTTAGCCCCAGGAGGGCCAGTCTCACCTCTTCATTCTCCTAAACCATCTCTTGGTTCACCCAAACCACAGCACAACCCACTAACATCACAAGCATTTGAATTTCTGCCTTCTGCTGCTGTGAGTACAGTTTAATTTGTGGAGTTTGTGATCCTGTTCAGTTTTCATTAAATTTTCTTGTAGCTCTGTTTGTTATATGAACCCATTTTGCTGGATCTTCCTATTCCACAATCAGCAGTTGCTTATTACTGAAAAGTAATGTATTTCAACCACTCATTAATGATATTCAAATAACTGTTGAGACTGCAAAGTCTATCTGAAGGCTGTAATTCTGAGGGTGTACATAAATAATTAAAAAAATTCTTATTAATAATATTCAACGAATATTATAATTTCAAATGCTTGCTGTAACATCAGTGTGTTGTTTACCTGTATTTTACTTTAGAACCAGAGCCTGCCACAGGCCCCCCTCCATAGTCAAGCCCAGGCCCCAGGTCCTCAGCAGATGGAATCCATAGGTGGAACAACGTATTTTTACACTCAGCAAGCTCAACAGCAGCCTGCTGTGGTAACAGTTCTTTATTCCTGTTTTAGAGTTATTAGAGAACGTAAACAATAACCATGTTGACAGCTACAAAAACATTACTTGCACTGCTTCAATGTGTTTTGCGATTATTCCATCTCATTCAGTTTGTGAAATGTTGCCAAATTTTCCTGTTGTTGAATTCTTAAAGACTGTGTCAAAGTTCATGAAAAGTAAAAGAAAGTCATTGTCTTGTGTTCACATCCTGCAACATACACAAAAAAAGCATGACACACATGCAGAGTTGTTGTTTTGCTAAGCTAAACCTATTGTTTTCTTTTTCCGTTCTCACTGCCATCGCTATCACCATTGCTTAAGCAAAAAACCTCAAATTTAAGTGCTGGCTACAATAGAATTGACTGCCAAGTTTATTAGTTACAATGTAGAACATTGTTAGTTTCACTCTCCATCTTTCCAAAGGGCTTTTGTATATAAAAAAATGTATTTTTTACACCAGTGAACAAGTTAGTAGTAGCAAGCTATGAGGGATACATCTAGCATGGGTATTAAATCTTCCTTCCCAGTTTTAGACTTGGCGAAAATAAGGTGTGATCCATGCATGAAAGCAAGTTAATGAAAAAAAGCACCATCATTATTAATTGTCATTTTTCTGAATATTTTGACTCTTTTTTCCAGCTATTTCCATCATACCAAGCATATGTCTCAGAACCGGCTCATCTTGCACATCTCCAAAGCAGCCAATCTAGAAACAATGCATTTTCCATGTCTGGTCAGATAAGGCAGGTTAGGTTTGACTCTTTATGATTGTTGTCTTGGAGTTAATGGCTCATAGATCAGAGTAAAACTAATTATTGCCAAACCTACTTCAAGTGAGCACTTGTAGATTTTGTAGATGTAATGGCTCAATGGATCATTATTTTATTTCACACTTTTTACAGAGAATAACATAGAAAGAAAAATATAATTACAATAGATGATTACAAAAATAAAATAATTACGGTACTGGCTCTAAAATGTGTGTGGTGGTCAAAGCAACAAAAACGACTACAAGCTTTATTTGCATGACAATACCTGTGCATACAGTATTGCAAAAGCTACTGTAAGAGAAAAAACAGAAAAACTAAAATTTCATCTTATTGCAACTAAATTACTTTGCTAACAATTTGTCATGGAAATCAAAGCAGTGAAAGCTTTCTAGTTGTCCACCAGTGCTTTTCGCACATTAACATTAACAAGATTGTGTGTCCTGATTTCAGGAACTGATCCATCAGCATACCCTGAGTATGGCACAACTTGACCCAGATGATCAAAGTAAGTTAATATGTACTTTACATTTTTAACAATAATGCTACAATGTGTAGAATATTCATGAAGAGGAGTCACTTTGTGGGAAATGAGATCACCATTTAAAGGAGAAGGCGAAGAAAATGATGACAGTCATTGATAGTTGTGTTGGTGGTCATGATGATGATGATGATGTTTTTGACGATGATAACAATTTTTCTTTGAATAGTGCATTGATGTCACTAAGATTTCAAGTTGCTTGGTAAATTCAACAACTAGGGAGGAAATAAAACAGCTAGGGATTTATTTTGGTTTTATTTTTCTCCTGTTTTTCAATGAAAGTAGCAGGGGGCCACTTTCATGGTAGCCAGGGGAAATCCCTGGCCCCTGCCTCTTAATGACAGTTCTGATAGTGGCAGACACATAAGTACACTGTATGTCTATGACCAAAAGGTTAAAATGTTTCTAGTAAATTGTGTGTTGATATTGAGTTACTTTCATTAAAAGGTGTTCCACAGGAAGTAGATAGCTATCATACTTTGTGCCCTATAGAGCCTCTGGACACTCCAACAGACCAGGTTTGTTACTTATTGTGCTAATTAATAAGTTCATACCTGAAAAAACACTTTAACCACTAAAAATACATCTCTTACCTTTATTTTTTGGAAGAATTAAAAACGTTATATTTAGTTAATCAGTGTTGGGCTACATCTTCCAGTCAAGACTTGTACTTCCATTCCTGCATCAATTTATTACAGTTTCATATCTTTGTTTTGCTTTAGTTGTATCGTAGGTCATACAACAAAATTAAAAGCTGTTTTGTTGCTTATCACTTAAGAAAGGTTCCTTGGCGGCTCCTGCACAAGCTCATATCTGGCTCTTGTTGGATTCTGACTCACAAAGTTCTTGTTCATACATGTACATGCTCCATGGATCACAAGAATAAAACTAAGAGTGCAAATTTGTAAGAGCTACCTAATCAATGAGTGTTTAACTTCTAAATTATTTTTAAAAGTAAACAAGCAGCGTAACATTATGTTAGGTTCCTTGTTTCTGATCCCAATGAAGTTGTCTGTAAGGCTGTTGGAAGATTTGTAACGTTTGTTTCTTGAGGTGAATTGTTGGTAGTGAGTGCCATTTTGTCGTTGAACTACTTTGTAACCTTCTTGTTGTTTATTTATTCCTTATGTAAGGTAATATTGGCAGTGCTCCGAGCTCAATTTTGTTTTCTAAGAAACCTTTTTGCAACTTGTTTTTCTTCCTTTTTTCGGAAAGGCCCAGAGGACATTTGGTTACATGACAACTTGTTACAAAGCCACAAATTCTAAAGATGGGCTTACTTATGTCCTTCGAAGAATTCACTGTAAGTATATTGACAAGAAACTCGTGCAGCATTAAATGCAGTAAATATTTTGATTAACCAGTTCATTATGACTTTGTATTATCTGTCTTTTCTTTATGTCATAAAGAACATGTGCATGGTTGATTTTTTTTTTTTTTACTTCTCAGAACGGCAAACACGACCTGATTTCTAAACATTTATCCACAGCAGAATCTTTGATTTTTAGGAAATCAGGAATTGCCATCTAGAAACTAAAACAATAAGCCACTTTCGAGTTCCAAAAACCCTTACTTTCATAATGAGGCCAAGTGCACAACCTTTCTTGTGAAAATGAGTTTTATTTGCATGAGAATGAAAAATCATTTCCACATCAAAGGCTGAGCACTTAACCTCGTTTTGATACAGTGGCCTGGGGGAACTCGGAAATGGCCGCCTATTGCTTGAAGATCTAACAGTCAATTTGTTCCGAAAAAGTTTATTTCAGGCTCATGCTCAACTGTATATAAATTGCAGAGGCTGACAACCTTTATAAGCATTGATTTAATGATTTTTTTTCCCTCTCTTTCAGCTTTTCGACTTGTAACTGCAAAATCCATGGTCCTTGTGGATCAGTGGAAAAAAGTCAGTCATTCAAATCTTGTCAGTCTCCGAGAAGTCTTTACAACAAAGGCGTTTGGAGACAACTGTAAGTACAGTAACAGGATGCATTTTTGCTATGTTGTTGTTGTTTTGCAACCACTGGATGTTTATAAAGGGTTTTGAAGAGTGATAGTTTGGTCGAGATGATTATGCTACATTGCTGTCGCAACCAAACAGGATATTGATCATTTAATTGAACGACATCTCACCATTTATGCAGTTCAAAAACATGTTTTTGTTTAACCCACGGGAATTTTATTTCTCCCAAACCATCCCTTATCCTTCAAAGTTTCTGTGCTTCTTCAGTTTAACCAAAGTAATATTTTTGATGATTTGCCCTTTGAAAAGACATCCCTAACTATTCGTCGAAATCTGGACCAACAAGCTAATCTAGCCTTGAAAGTTAACCTTGGCTGTTGTCATTATACTTGCAAATTAACACAACATTTTTAATTCCACCGTTTACACATACTATTTATTTTGAAAAATACTAGCATCGACATAAAATAAATGATGAGGAATGGTAAATTTCATCGCCGAGTCGAGTTTGCAATTTGCACAAATCCGTTCCATTTACCGAAAAACGGCCGCGGTGGCCTGAAACTGGTGTTAAAGATCATGGCTCTGAAGAAATGGAACACGAATTTCCGTTTAGGAAATTCAGGAAATTCCGTCCGGAAAAACAAGACTACCTTTTCAGTTGTTCCGCTGCTCTGGCAGATTTTCCGCGGGAACGACCGATCTTTTACTTTCCAAATGGATTTTCCGGAAACTTTTTTTCGTGTATCATGATCTTATACTTTCCAAATGGATTTTCCGCAAACTTTTTTCAAAATGATAAACAGTTATTACCTCGAAGTTTCTCTTGGCACCACCCATTAAGTGTTTAATGTTTCCATTTCACAGCGCTCATATTTGTCTATGACTTCCACCCGGGAGCAGAGACTCTTTTAATGAAGCACTTTTCTGGTCCTGACTCCAATCTTGGTGTCGGCCCGGATGGCTCATTATTATTCCCCTCGACTTCCCGCCCCCTGGGGGTGCATAGCAGACATAGACCGGGTCACCGTAGTCCGATGCCTGAGCGACTTATTTGGAGTTATATCATCCAACTTTCCTCTGCTTTAAGGACAGTTCACGCGGCTGGATTAGCCTGTAGGGTCATTGATCCATCCAAGATCTTATTAATTGGAAATTCAAGGTAAGTTGCCGTATTTTTCGATTAATGGTGTTCCAAAGCGAAGTATTACCGCCACATGGGCCTGTAATATCAACACACTTTAATCATGGCCGCCTTTTCACTAAGTAACAACATTTATGCGCGCTCTGTCATTTTTAATAGGGACCTTAAGCAACGACGACAGCAGTGAAAACGTCGCCAAAAAATGAATTTTGCGTTCCTCCAAACTTAATCGCGTCTATTTGGACCCGCTCAATATGTCAAATGCTGGCGACTAAATTCGTCGTCATAAGTCCACGTCCTGCATAAAACGTCAAATTGGTTGGTTTCACGTCTTAGTCGTGTAGTGGACGTCAAAGTTGTTGTTTTGATCATTAAACCTATTGGTTTTTTGTGGTTGTCGTCGTAGTTGCTTAAACTACCTAATAAATTCCGGATGTAAGTCACGGCAAACCGCTCTACAGTACAGTATTTCTAGCCCGCGTGTCGCCCGCGTGGCAGTAGCCTGCGAGCAAGCTCTCCTATTTGGGCGAGTGAAACGAGTCTCGCGAGAACGCGCGAGCGAGCGGCGAAGCCGCGAGGGGCAGAGGAAAGGCCCCTCGCTCGCGCGTTCTCGCGAGGCTCGCTTCCCTCGCCCAAATAGGAGAGCTTGCTCGCAGGCTAGCGTGGCAGACTTTCGAAGGAAGGCGCGGAGTAAGAGGAAAACATCGCGCGAGTGAGGTCGCGTAGAGCATGCGCGATTTGCCCCTTTCTTCATCCTTCCTAAACACGGTGACTGGACTTGCTCCCTAAATGATATCAACCCCTTCATTATCCACCCACCCCATGAAAGGTTGTTCACACTACATGTACCACGGTCTACGTGCCCTCCTCTTTACGAACAGCAGTGTCGGGTCTTTTGCGACCGACCAGAATCAGAACAGTGAAAGAGCTGTGAGATTTGGCCTACGGTTTTTCGCTTTTTATTCACCCTTGAATGTCTACGACGTAGGTTAACGTGTTACTTACAAACTACTGACCCTCGAATAAACACCGTACCCTTACCAAGAGCGCAGTGTTCATTTCAAGTGCGTAAATTTAAGGTCGGCAGTTACTCGAATAGTGTCAACGTCAGTATGTTGAACACATTTTCCTTTAAATCAACAGCAAAAACGTTTTCGTTTGGTCGTATTGCGTGCGAATGAACCATGAAATAAGCCATGGACTGATAAAGCTCTATAGACAAAAGTGAAATAATACGAAAAAAATGCTTATTAGAGAATACATCTCCAAGCAGCAAAGAAAAAGAGGGAAAAAAACAATTCAAACTGCTTTATCCTTTTTACTTTCAGACTCAGAATAAACGGCTGTGGGATATTCGATGTTCTTAGTTTCGATGCTAGTAACAGTCCAAACGCTATGATTCCTCATTTTCAGGTAAATGACTTAAATTTCATTTCTCTTGAAGTAAAAACTTGACTCTATTTTAATTTTGTTGTTATTTTCAGCCTTTCTTAAAACCGCCCATTAAAATACCACTTTTTTCGGTTTCAGCAAGAGGATTTGACATCCCTTGGTAAGCTGATCTTAGCCTTGGCCTGCTACTCCCTCCAGGCCGTTCAGCGGGAGCACATTCAACAATCATTAGAGTACATGGCGATGAATTACTCAGTAGATCTGAAAAATCTTATCATGTATGTACAGTATATTCCTTAACCTCACAGGAAGTAGTTTGTAATTACTTTGGTTTTGCATTGGCACGCTCTGTGATTGGCTGAAAAATCTCGCGCCACCTTCTCAACCAATCAGAAAAAAGTGACTTGTGCGAGTTCGTTTTCCCGCGGGTTGGTTTTTTTTAACTTCAAAATCTGATTGGTTTATTGGAATTTCTACGCGTATTATGATTGGTCAAAATACTTAATTTGGTTTTACCTCTGTTGCGCAGTCTGGGGTAGAGAGAGAAAGAAGTGGGAGTGCTCACTTGTGAAGAGGAACTAAACTTGAAAATTGTACTCAGATGGGTACATACGCCCTTGGGGCCATCTAAAGGCATCTATGGGATGATGATGGTAGAAGTTTTCTCGGTCTAAACTGCAGAATACTTTTCCTTTTGTGAAAGGTTTGAACCCAGGAGTCGTTTCAAAAGTAGGTTGAGTTTGATCTTCCGAGTGAACGAAGTCCTGAATAGGACTGTTGTTGTTGACAGTGACTGACGTTTCGACAACCTGTGAGGTAGTCATCTTCAGAGTCAAAGCGAGTCGTATCACGTCAGTTGATGGTATTGTACTCTGGTTTTTGATCTGATTGGTCAATTACGTCGCGATGTTATTGGTCGTCTGTCAGTTAAGACGTGATGTTATTGGCTATGAAGACTCGTAATCAGTAATTGGTGCGTTTCGATCCGTCTATTGTCACAGTTAAACAGTCGTCTATTGTTAGTCAAATTCCTCTTTCTTTGTTTTTTTTGGTTTTGCACTTTTGTTTAATAAAATTTGAGAGATGAAATAACCCTGGGTACGAATTGACCGGTTTGCCGTGGTTTTTTGTAAGTCACTTTTCTGTGATCTCGTTAGATATCTTCTCAGCAGTCCCCTTCCAGCGCACATGAAGAGCGTGAATGATGTCATGCCAATGATTGGCGCTAGGTTTTACACGCAGCTGGATGCAGCCCAAATAAAGTGCGACATTTTAGAAGGAGAATTAGCCAAGGTAAAGTGAACGTCTTTAATTCTTGTAAGCTTAATCTAAATCTAAAACTGTGCAAAGGTCTCGCATGGGATATATGCGCACAGTTTCTTGTGTAACTTCATTACAGCCAATAAAAGGAGCGATTACTTCCCCAAATCAGTCCCATGGTGCCGCGCAGTCTCTAAAAGGCCTATTAAGGTCAACAGCTAGTTGTAATTTTCTCTCCTTATATGGTAGAATATCCCAAGTGGCACTTGGCAGTTGAAGATGAATACGTCATCTCTTTATTCTCTTTTGTTTTGTAGGAAATGGAAAACGGTCGACTTTTCAGAGTACTCTGCAAGATGGGAACTATCAACGAACGACCAGAGTAACAAATCTTGTTTTGTTTATAGATTTTCTTAGTAACGTATTCACATACAATGCTAGAGGAGTGATGATACCTTAAGGATATCTTCAGAAATCGCCTTTTTAAGATTCAGTAAACCTGGGATGACTGTCGGGATGATACGTGAAGCAGCTAGGAGCCATTAAATAATATTGAAGCTTTTTTTTCTTAATTACCTTTACTACTGGGAGCTTTCTACGAAACTTTTGTGTTCTGAACTAGAGGAAGTTGTCTGTCTCGCCCGAATACCACTAAGATAGTACAATGGCTATAGGTTTTGCTGTCACCATTTTCGCGTGTTAACCCAATCTAAAACAAATCGTCCTCCAATTTTTTTGTCTATTTATGTGTAGAATGTAGGCTGAGTGATTTTGATCTAAAATAGTCGATGGTATTGTGGTGTTAAAAAACTTTGAAGGCGGCGCGTTAGATTGGGTTGGTCTTGTGTCGAATTGTACTGTGGGACAGTTTTTGGGGACTAGCCATTCACTACTCACACATGCAGAGTGGACCATAATGCACCTTGTTTCCCCCAGAATTTTGCATGACCACTGTTTCCAATTACTCCAGGGTATTACAGTCGTCCCAAAAGAAGTCGAAGACAATGGTTATGCAAAGTTTTGGGGGTAAACAAGGTGCATTATGGAAAATGTGAAAATGGTGAATTTAAAGATACAGTCAAAGCTCTCTTTGCGACCACTCTCGTAAGCAACCAGCTCTAGTTACTACCACCTTTGTGAAACCCTGTTTGAACTGTGACTGAAACTTTTTCATGAAAAGCTATCGTAAGCGACCGCAATCATTTTATGGATTACCCAACTAGACTTTTCTCAGAGTCTTATTGATGTAAATCAGCACTTTAGTGAAACTTCACACTGCGCCAATGTTCTAAAAAATTGGGCGTAAAGTTTATCCGTGTCTATATCAGATATAAACACACTCTTTAAACATTAATTTCTTTTTTTGCTTTATGAATTGTTAATGAGTTTCTTAAGCTCTCGTAAGCGACCACCTGCTATTGTTTTACCATGCGTTCGCTTACGACATCTCATTTTCGAAAGCGAGCCGCTCCAGTTACGACCACTTTTTCCGAATTTCCGAGGTGGTCGCCTACGAGAGCTTCGACTCACTGTAGCATGGTAAACTGGGTCGCCGGCCAAGACACTCATGTAGTGCCCAAGGAACTAACCAACCCAATGTCGCGCACTTCCAATAGACCTCCTTAGCTTGTATGTTTTGTTGTCCCAATGAACGTTTCAGGAAAATTTGCCCCTTTCTCTATTCATAAAAGATGTAGTAATCGACTCCTGGCGTATATGTGCAAGTGAATAAGTCGAAATTTGGAAGAAGCAGTTCTCGGGGAAATTATCACATGACCCACATTGGGAAAATAAAACGTACAAGCTGAGGAGGTCTATTGCCCATTAGTAAAATCCAGCTAATGGTCTATTATCAATGTTGCGTTCTGATTGGTTGAGCTACTACTAGGCTATATGTTATAGCCCACTAGTAGCGAAAAGCGCGGGCTTTTTGGCGGCAAAAAAGGATTAAAGTCTTGCTTTAACTAGCTAAAATTTTTTTATTCTCGATATTTTTGACCAACTAGTTGGATTTCACTAAAACAATTATTCCTCTCGCCCTCATGACCTCTGAGTCAATAGCCCATTCAGCCTTCGGCCTCATGGGCTTTTGACTCAGAGCCCATGCGGGCTTGAGGAATAATTGTTAAATATTGAGAGTTTTTTCGCGCATTTAACTCGTCCCCACTCCTTCGCAGGTTCAGCATGGATCCAAGCTGGTCGGAGACTGGTGACAGGTATCTATTGAAGCTTTTTAGAGACTACCTGTTCCATCAAGTGACGGAGAGCGGAGCACCATGGCTAGACTTGGCTCACATTGTTGCTTGTTTGAATAAGGTCAGTTTGCAGAAAATACGCAGTATTTAGTAAATCGGATCGTTTTTTAATCACCAAAATTAAAATTTTCCGTCTTTGCTTTTTGTTAAGTCAATAGCCTGCATGTAGTCGTTTACGCGGGCGAGCAAAAAATACAGGAGCGGGAGGGTGGGGCGGGTAAAGATTATTTGAATGTCTGTTGTGTAAAAAAACGTAGGAGAGGGGGTGGCTGAGGTGGGAAAATAGCATTGTCACTCCTTTACCCCCCTCCCCGTCCCCAACAGCTTCTTCACATGCTTCCGTGCAACAGCATTTTCCTTAGAATCTATTTTCAAGTAATTTAGCGATAGACTTTTAGAAACTCCTGCCTATTGCAAATAGCTTGTGAGCAAGCTCTCCTGGGGGTACACAGTGCCCTGGAGAGCTTGCTCACTGAAGGTCCTGCTGGCAGTCGATCGATACGTAATCTGTTTTTTGTTTTGTTTTTTTTTTGTTTTCAGCTGGAGGCAGGTACATCAGAGAAAGTTTGCCTCGTCTCTCGCGATGAACAGTCGGTGTTAGTGGTATCTTACCGCGATCTGAAGACCTGCTTTGAGGGTGCCTTTAACGAAATCCTTTCTGCGTCTTTGACGTAAAACCCGATAGAAATATTTGACAGGCTTAGTATTACGTTTACGGGCAAACGTCGATTTCGTACCACGTGATCAAGATTACCCTTTACTTCAGTTGTCGTTTTCTTTTCATAATACCTACACGAAAGTTATTTGTTTCGGGTGTGTTTTATCGATAGGAATTGTATGGAAAGTTTTTATCTGCTCATTTCCCAAATTGAGATTTTGTCAACTTGAATCTCACATTTGCCGTTTGCTGTAAACGTAATCCTTCAACCGATCTATTATCAAGACCACTAAAGCTTCTACCATTCCCTGTGAACAGAAAGAGAGAATCGGATCAAGTGAGTTTTCTGGGTATCTGACCACCTACCCCTCCCCTAAGTCAACATTAACGCTTCCTTCTCACTTAAGGCCGAATTGTGACTTAGGGGAGGGGTCAGTTACCCAGAAACTTTACCCGACACGCAACGAATCCTTTTCGTGTCACGGTCTTCTCGACAATTTTTACGCACGTGCGCGGAGGCTCACTGTTTAGCGAGTGGTATATACGAGGCAATAAACAAAACAAACAAGCAAAGTTCGGAAACTAATTTGGCAAATGGTAGTTTTTAAAAAAAACAGCTGTGCCGGGGCGACCGGCGCAAGAACCAACGGGTGCCAGTATTTCACGGCGTTTCTTTACCTATGTTACGTCGCGGTTGATACAGCAAAGTGGATACAAAATATGATTACAACTAACTAAACCATGATCTGCGAAACTCTTAAACACTTTTCCAGACAGAGACAGTTATGGAACCATCTGGTTTCATGTTTTCATAAAGAACTTTGATCGTGGAAGATTTGAGCTGACATGAGTACCAAGAAAATTATGTCTTTCTTTTTTGCGGTTGTTAGTTTGTTCCTTTTTTATCGGTAGCTTGTTTCTTTGTTTGTTTGTTTTTCATACCTGTATATTATTGACGTATAGTTTAAAAGTATTTTGCAAAAAAAAATTCCTTTTGATTCGCTTCAAGTTCCCCTTTTTATCGAATAAGGCCTACATACAATTCATGGATGCAAAATGTTGTGCAAAAAACGCCCCTTTCAACAAAAAAGCTTTGAAACGTTTTGGCAGTAAAAGATAAACATCAAATCTCTCTCAGTAATATCAAGTGTTTTCAATTTTTCCAATCATAAGAAATCATTAACAGTTTTCCTGTAAGGGAGACAGAGGACGGTATATTATTATCAAGATTTTGCTCAAGAAACTCTTTAACGGTTGCTTCCAGGCTAAGGTTTCCTAAAGCGCGGCTATCCGCTGGATAAATCACATTGCATAGAGGTTTCTCCAGTGGATACCGCTATCTGTCTTTTGAACAACTGGGGCCAGATTGTTGTTGTTTTTTTTTTTTCTCGTAAGCATGGGTTAGTTGCTTACCTATCATCCTCCAGCGTTGTCGAAAATTATTGTACATAACTTCGAAAACTTTCAAATCCAATGTTTCAACAGGGCTGTCCCTATAAGGCGTCTTAACATTCGTTAAAGTGAAAGGATAGAGTAAACTTATGTAAAGTGTAAAGAAAAAATCTAGCTCTCGTGTAGATACTGTGCAATAATTGTACAGCAAAGTTTTCCACTGAATACTCTAAACGTATTTTTCAATATTTATAGTTAAAGGAAGAGTAGCTATAAAGGTTTTTAACGAATTATTTTCAAAGTCTAATATTTAGCTCCTTTCCCCGCTGAAAGGACCTTCAAATAAATTCGATATTTATGCTATCGAGTTTGCACAGAGTGATGTAAATCTGTACGTTCAATCAAAATTCTAGACGTGTTACAAAGTAAGATTTTATTCAAGATCATATTATAAAAATGAAAGGCATCAATAAACAAATGTTTGAACGTTAAAACTAACTTGCTGTGATAATTGAGGAGGTGCGTTATTTAATTTCCTTTGTGATTATAAAAATTGTCAAATGTCGCGTCGCGTGATAACCCTCTTATCTCCTTTTGGAAATAGCGCGAGAGATTGGGGATCACTGCTTACGGAAGGCCCTCTGCCTCCTCTTGAGCTTCACACACTACTCGCGTGGTTTCTCCTCCTCACGCAATTCTCAATTGAAGAGGTTGATAGCGGATAAAGCACTTCGTGAAATTACGCGTGATTTGCTCCTCCAATGTTTGAGAGACAATTCTAGTAATTCTAGAAGCAAAGGAATATTTTTAAAAACGATTCCTTTCGTCGTGATCAAAACTTGTTAATTTTGAAACTGACTTTGCTACGTTTCCTTATCAGTAACTACTCCAGGCAGATTTTATAGCATAGTTAAAGCGACGTCAAGTGAGGACGGTGCTCATTTTGCTGCTCTGCCATTGGTCAATTCGGTTTTTAGATCTGTGCGCGCCGTAGTCTTTGTCCTAACAGTTGCCTTTCTTAATCTGTTAATCTGCACGTTATTTTCTTAAGTAGCGATATCGCGAATAATAATGCACATGTATCCACCAACTAATGGCCTGTTTACATGAAGGTGGGGGACCCCAGGTAGGTGTGGACAGGCGGGTTACCCCACCTACCTGGGGTCCCCCACCTCCATGTAAACAGGCCCTAAATTAGCCTGCGAAAACATCCGTTTCTCCTCGCTCTTCGCCGCTGGGGACGTTTCGCGAGGAGGAACGTCTGCGACTCAGCGACAGAAATTCCATACTGATGACGTAAAATCTGTCCGGAATCCGGTCAGAAGCGCTGATTGGTCGACGGAGTAGTTACATTGTTTTAGCTATTGTTTACGAATGACAGACAAAAGACAAAAGGCCACAGAGGTCAAATGTAAACGCGAAGAATCTCTAGCAAAACAATCAATATTTGAGGAATATACTCTTCTCTAGAAGAAGTATTTGAGTTTTGCTGGAGCTCGTTGGCAGATGAACACAAAAATTTACCAAAATCGACCAGAAGACATGTAAAATTGGACAAAATTGTATTTAGAACCCCATGACTACCGGATTTATTATGTAAACATTGATTTGCGTCATCAGTATGGAATTTTTGCCACTGAGTCGCAGACGTTCCTCCGCGCGAAACGTCCCCAGCGGCGGAGAGCGAGGAGAAACGGATGTTTTCGCAGGCTAGCCCTAAATTAGAGTTGGCCGGCACCTTTTCTAGACTCCTATTGTTGTTTGAGTTCCTCTACTATTATGAAACTCATTCCCAGGGACTCTCCTTTACCTCGCTCGAGGCAGACAAAACAAAGAGAGAACCTGGGACATCTCTTTCCTATTCCTTTCATCTGGCTGAAACAAATCCATCTTAAACATCTGTTGTACACGAATTTGAATCTAATTTTGGCTAATTTGATTCACCAAAAATAACAACACGAACTACGCAGTTTTTTACAGACATCAATATTTCGCTGCTTTTTTCCCATGTACTGTATAACTTTGAAACAGTAATCAGAATAAGCGATAAACGCACTGCTCTTAATCAACTTCGATGATGTCGTAAAATTCTGATGAATAATAGCTAGATTTTTGCTGCTCCTTGCAAAGCGACAGGCGACAACAGCGCCGGCAACATGAGAAGACGATCTTCAGCACGATGAATATAACAGGAGTGAGTCCAGCGGCAATGTGGTACACGTCATCTGATAACGAGGCACTTGGACACACCGATATGTATACGAGGAAGGTCATCAGTGGAATGACACTGAGCTTCAGTGCGAGGTACGTGTGTGCGCGAGGCGACACGCGAGGATCCGCGCGGGACTCGAGAAAGTTAGGACCTTTCAGTAAAGCGATAATAAAAACAATTGCTTGAAAAATACTGGCACCAAAGACGATAATCGCTCCCGATTGGACAGCAAGTCGGCTGTCAGACTTGCCGTGCCCTGCATAACGATTCAGTGTCACGTTGATTAATGGCGACAAACCCACGAATGCCAAAGAGATGTTATTGCAGACCAGCATCACTTGGTTCAGCCTCTCGATGCAGTGGAAGAGCGAGTGGTGCGTGAACCACAAAAGCGCGACAACCATGAAAGTAGCCCCATAAGTGAAGATCTCCGACTTCATGTGTAACAAGGTTTTCTGGATACCATTGCGTTCGACGTCTCTATGGTTCGGGAAATCTTCCGCTGTGATATCCAGTATAAGCAGCGTAGACACGATCGCGAAAAGGCCATCGCTGAAAAATTCCACTCTCTCTTTATCTACGAAGTTTCCGAACATTCGGTCGAACTCGGATCCTGTCAGGGGGATGCGCGAAACCTTCCGATAAACAACACCCACGAAGCGGTTGATGCAAGGCGAGAATATGACTATTGCCACCACGACTAAAGCAAGTTGTATCTGCGCAATGCTGATCACACCGGCTAAAACATACAAAATGGGATTTACAGCCTTCTTCACCAGCATTAGTTTCATTCTTTGTCTGATTTCGGGATGCGTGAGCTCCTCAAATTCTTCGTCCAGGAGTTGCGGATGGTGAAAAGCATACACGATCATAACGACTTCTAGAATCTCTAGGGTGAGCAAGTTTCCGCAGATAAGCATCATCGGAAGGTACTTGTTGGTGAACATACCCTCCAGAGCGCATGTGAACGGTAGAAATGAGGTAAACAGCAGCGATGCGAGGTTGAACCAGACGAGAACGTCATCGACTCGGGACAAGATTCGAAAGCGAAGGACATGCGATTCCCACACAGCACAAATCACGAGAAATCCGACCAAATATATCAAAAGCTGGGGCCATCTATCACTGAGCTGATCCTCAAGACTAACGTTTTCCTTTGCGTTCTCCTCGAGCTTTCTTATTGGTAAAACTAGGATGGTCGCGACAATAGCGAATACGGCGTCGTTAAAGCATTGAAGACGTTTCAATTCAGAAAGATCTATGTTGTCCGTTGTGGACATGTTGCTCGTTGTGAGTCTCTGAACGGCTTTAGGCGAAAGAAGGCTTAGTCAAAAGCTTGAAAGTTCCGCTTTTCTCGGAAATCTCTAGTGAAGTATCAGCCTACAAACTTCAATAATCCTTGATCACGAAATCCAGTTAGTAATTCGATCGTAAATCACGCTATTTATGTCTCTATCAAACCTAAAAGCGTCGCATCGTGTTCTGAACAGTCATCTTTTGCATAGATAGAGGAACCGAAGTTTTCTTTGCTGTAGCTTTAGCATTCTTCAGTGAAAATGGGCCGTTTGTTTTGATGCTCTTTCAGAAACTCGATCGCGTGACCCATACCGGATTGATGATGTGGACATTGTCACGCGACCAATGTCTCCTGTAGAATTCACACTTCGGCCTAAAAAGAGGAGCTTGTGAAATAGTTAAATCGTGACATTTGAACGTGTATTTCGTTACCTTTCATGTAATTCGTTACCTGGTCAGCGGTCATTTATGTAATGCTTACGTCACAAGAACAGAACCTTTTTCTGCCTCGCTCTCGTTACTTTTATGACCGCCATGTTGTGTTAATGTTGTCTGAAATATACATGTAACTACATTGAGTTCTCTGTCGTATTTATTGCTTCCCCACATTTTTGGTGCCGAGACCAGGATGGAAGAGTTACCGAAACTGCTAGCGTCAAGAAGAGCTCACAAAGCACATTTAACCAAACTAAGACAGAAAATCGATGACACTGCAGAAGGAACAATAGCCGACAACGGAATTGTACTACTCAAGTCTCTCGTGGAGCAGTTAAAGCAAAAGAGACAAACCCTCAAGGAACTTAACGATAAGATAGCAGTTTTACTGGAAACTCCTGAGGAACTCGAAGCAGAAATACTCGATGCAGAGGAACTAGACAGCCTTATCGTGGAGAAGGTTTGCCTCACCGACAATTTAATTGAGCTCGCCAAAAGAAACCTCGACCAGTACGTGTTGTCTCACAGTCCCGGGAATATCAGTACTCCGTCAAGTTCACCGCAAAAGGGACAAACAAATCAGCAACCCATTCCATCTACGTCGCAAACGGAACAAGAAAATCAACAATCCAATTCCCCACCTTCGACTGGAACGTCAGGTAGCGATTTTCAAAGTAACACAGCCGCTTCAGCAGAGAATCCCCCAATTACACCACCGATTACCCGATTACACCACCGCCGGTGAGTACATTCCAAACTAATCGTTTACCTAAACTTGTACTGCCATCGTTTAATGGGAACCCGCTTGAATGGCAATCGTTTTGGGACGCCTTTCAGTCTGCAGTACACGATAACTCTTCGATCAGTGATGTCCAAAGGTTCAATTATTTGAGAGCACAGTTACGCGACGGAGCTGAAAGAGTCATTGCCGGGTTGCCATTAACCAGTGCCAATTACGCTAAGAGCATCCAGTTATTGAAAGATAGATTCGCTCAACCCCACAAGATTATCAATGCACACATGGAGGCACTGCTCAACCTTCCATCACCCACTGATCATTTAAGTAGTTTGAGGCTTTTCTATGACTCAGTTGAAACACACATCAGGGGACTTGAGTCACTAGGGAAGAAAACAGAAACGTATGGAGATATTCTTGTTCCCATCATTCAGAAGAAGTTACCTAATGGAATTAAGAGGAATCTAGCAAGGCAAAATGGAAACAAGGAGTGGCAGCTTGACAACTTACGTAAGGCAATCTTGAACGAAATTGAAATCTTAGAAGCAGGTCAGAACAGTTCTAGCGATTATGAACTCAGTAGCAACTCAACAACTGCTGCTACTGCTGCATTTCTCACGACTTCAAAGCCACCTACACCTGTTCTCCCTCCTCCCACTGATCGGCGCCCTACCAAGCGAACATGCCTTTTCTGTAAGGGCGAACACAGTTCAAATGATTGTAATGTTGTAACAGACAAGGGAAGGAGATACTCCATTGTACGTGATGCAAGGGTATGCTTTAACTGTCTTAATCGTCATTCAGTATCTAAATGCAAGTCACGGAACAGATGTAAGGTGTGCCATCGAAAGCATCATACCAGTCTTTGCCAAAATGCAGAATCAACTCCCCTAGTGTCATCCACTGAACCGCCAACTACAAACAAGGCTCAATGTACACCCACCACAGACAAGACTACAGCACCTTCAGTCTCATCCTACCACATTGGTGATACTAGCAGACACACCCCCCGTTCTACTGAAAACAGCCGTTGCTTCTGTTGGTAGTCACAACAACCACATCAGTGCACACATTTTATTTGATGAAGGGTCTCAACGCTCCTTCATTACTTCAGATGTAGCGACCAAACTTGATCTGAAACCAGAAATGCAAGAGACCATATCCCTGTCAACCTTTGGTGGGAACACATCATCCGTTAAACGCATTGACACTGCCACCGTTTTTGTTGAAACCGCTCAAGAGGAGAACATTCCCATTCGCGTGATCATTGTACCAACAATAGCTGCCCCTCACTACTTACACTGGTGCCAATGTAAGGGAACTACCACACTTAAAGGGACTGTCATTAGCACAAAACGTTGATGATTCACCTTTCACAGTTGATATTCTAATCGGTGCAGATCATTATTGGGACATAGTGGAAAACGAAGTTGTCAAGGGTCCAGGTCCCACAGCAGCCAAATCAAAGATAGGATACCTCCTTTCGGGCCCCTCTCCAACAGTAACCATTCAGAGAACCTAAACACGTCTATTTTAAATGTTGTGACTGAGCATCATCAAGAACAATTTGATTTGGAACGTTTCTGGCGGATTGAATCAGTTGGTGTTCAGCCAAGCTCATCAGAAGAAACGGTTGACTTTCTGAAGTACTATCAAAACTCGTCTATCATGTTGGAGGATGGCCGGTACAGTGCAAAGCTACCCTGGCGACCAGAACATCCCCTCTACCATCAAATGCAGAAATCACTAAGCAGAGAACCCGCTCCATGGTCAGAAAACTAGCTGAAGATCCTAATAAATTACGCATGTACAATGACATCATCCAAGAACAACAATCTCGCGATTTTATCGAAAGAGTGGACAATCCAGAAACAACCAACGGAGTGTGTCATTACATACCTCATCACGCTGTTCTCAAGGACTCTACCACAACTCCTCTACGCATTGTGTACGACTGCAGCTTCAAACGAGGTGAACAACCCAGCTTGAATGATTGCTTACAGCCAGGTCCTCCACTTCTCAATGATCTTACTGGTATACTTCTACGCTTCCGTCTCCACCAGTATGCTATAACTGCAGACATTGAAAAGGCATTTTACATGTAAACCTAGACCAAGCTGATCGAGATGCCACGCGCTTCTACTGGCTATCTAACACGGATGACCCGGAGAGTGAATTCATTGTCTACCGATTCAAGTCTGTCATGTTTGGTGCCACAAGTTCCCCTTTCATCTTAAATGCCACTCTCAATAAGCACCTCACACAGTCTACAGACCAAGTCAGCATGGATATGTTAAGGAATCTGTATGTGGATGATCTCGCCTCGGGAACAAACGATGATGATTCAGCAGTCAACTATTACCAAGATGCCAGGAACAAAATGTCACCGGTGGGCTTCAATCTCAGGTCATGGAGTTCAAACAGTCCTGGTGTTCAACATATTGCAGCCAAAAATCAAATCCTCGACACTAGTCCAACTAAAAAAAAGTACTTGGCATGGTATGGGACATAACTTCAGACACGCTACGATTCTCATGTAAACAGGCAACCTCTACCCCCCGTTGTCAACCAAGAGAGAGGTGTTACAAGAAACAGCAAAAGTCTTTGATCCACTCGGCTTACTTCAACCAGTCACCGTTGCGGCTAAGATTCTAATACAAGAACTGTGGAAGGAAGGGATTGATTGGGACGAGCCCCTTCCACCTTCTCTTGATCAAAAATGGCGTGCTGTAGCAAAGGAGATTGAGATGCAACCAAACTTGAGTTCCCACGTCGCTACTTCTCTTCTAATGTCTCTGTCGATAGCAGCGATACAGAACTACATGTTTTCGCTGATGCAAGCCAGAAAGCCTATGGAGCTGCTGCTTACTTAGTACGTGGAAACCAGTCATCGTTAGCTATGGCGAAGTCGCGTGTTGCTCCGACAAGGAAGAAACTCACCCTTCCAGAATTGGAACTTATGGCAACTCTAACAGCCGCACGTTTAGCTTCATATCTTCAAGAACAACTGCCAGTTACAAGAGTCACATTGTGGTCTGACAGCCAAATTGTTCTCCACTGGCTCAAAAGCACCAAGTTGTTGAAGCCATTCGTCAACACTCGCATCCAAGAAGTAAAGAAGCTGACATCAACTTCAAACTGGAAGTACTGCCCTACAACTGAAAACCCCTCCGATCTTCTCACAAGAGGGATAACAGCACATCAACTAGAGATTTCCTTGCTGTGGAAACATGGTCCCACATGGTTACCAAACAGATCCCAGTGGCCTTCATGGCCTACGACAGAGGTTCTTCACTTATCAGCAACTGAAACCTCTCCTGGTGGGTCTACCACAGACGGCACAGTCCCAGTTCAACAGCAAGGCCTTCATCGCCTGATCAATCCATCGGATTTCAGCAGTTTACCAAAGCTTCTACGTGTTACAGCCTATGTTTTCAGATTTGTAAAACTTCTCCAGAAGAAACTTAGTCAACAAGGCCCAATTACAGCCATGGAATATGATCATGCCATGACAGAATGGGTGAAGAATCGTCAATCTGTTGTCTTTCATGCTGAAGTTAACAACCTCCTCTCGAAGTCGCGACACCGTACAACTTTGGTACGTCAACTTCGCCTTTTCCTTGATGATGGTGGTCTTCTACGCTGTGGCGGAAGGATACACAACGCACCCTTAAGTGGCAACACCAAGTTTCCTCTGCTACTTCCAAGCAAAGACCATTTCACAGATCTTGTAATTCACTCCACCCATGTCAAACAGCTTCATGCAGGTGTCAACTCAACACTCACCGCCCTACGTCAAACTTATTGGGTTCCTTCTGGCCGACAACGCGTCAAAACTTTAATTGACAAATGCGTAACCTGCAGAAAGGTCTCAGGAACAGCCTACAATGCACCAGACCCACCACCCTTCCCAAGTCAAGAATACAACAAACACAACCCTTTGAAGTCACTGGGGTGGACTACACCGGAGCTCTGTATGTTCGAAATGCTGGAATCGAAACAAAGGTCTACATATGTCTGTTTACTTGTGCAACAACCAGGGCTATTCATCTTGAAGTTGTCGAAGACTTGACCGTTGAAGCCTTCTTACTAGCCTTTCGCAGATTTGCAAGTCGGAAATCTCTTCCAAGGAAACTAATATCTGACAATGCCTCAACATTTGTATCAGCGAACAATGAACTAAAGGAATTGTTTCAATCTCGTGCGCTCAAGGAAACACTAGCAAGGGAAGGCATTGAATGGCTATTCATCCCCAAGAAGGCGCCTTGGTACGGCGGGTTTTGGGAACGCCTCATCGGTCTCACCAAATCCACCATCAAGAAGGTACTCGGCAGAGCTGCAGTCAACCTGTGCACTCTTCAGACAATTGTTGTTGAAGTAGAGGCAATTCTAAACGATCGTCCCCTAACCTACGTTTCCTCAGACATTAAGGATGAGGAAGCATTAACCCCTGCACATCTACTTTATGGCCGACGAATTACGTCATTACCACATCCACCAGTAGAAAGTGACGAAGTGAGTGATCCCACCTACCAAACAAGTACAGATTTACTAAGAAGGGCAAAACGTGTCACCTTACTGATCCAACACTTTTGGCAACGATGGCGTCATGAGTACCTTACCTCCCTCCGAGAGTTCCACAAAGGTTCAGGAATCAACACAGAATCCGTGAAGGCTGGTGATGTAGTTCTAATCCATGATGATAGCCCTAGAGTAAACTGGAAACTAGCACTTGTCACATCCATTAACAGAGGTCGCGATGGACTTGTGCGTTCCGCAAATTTACGCACCGCCAATGGAACAACAAACCGTCCCATAACAAGATTACACCCTCTAGAAGTTCACGCCAAGGAAGCACAGTGTTGCACAGAGGATCAAGCAACCGCAGTAGAAACTCCAACCCCTGTGAGGAGACCACAAAGAGATGCAGCACGACGAGCAATAAGGAGAATTGCAGATTGGGCCAAGGACATTCGCGCCCCCTCCCCCCCGGAGGATGTGAAATAGTTAAATCGTGACATTTGAACGTGTATTTCGTTACCTTTCATGTAATTCGTTACCTGGTCAGCGGTCATTTATGTAATGCTTACGTCACAAGAACAGAACCTTTTTCTGCCTCGCTCTCGTTACTTTTATGACCGCCATGTTGTGTTAATGTTGTCTGAAATATACATGTAACTACATTGAGTTCTCTGTCGTATTTATTGCTTCCCCACAGAGCTATCTTGTTGTTATAATTGTAACTATACCAAATACCTTCCAGAAAACCAAAATTTTAAACCTTTCGATTTCCAAATTTTCACGTTCAGGTAACAAAATACAAAAGCGTATTACATTCTTAAAATTTTGTCGGTAACAATAATAATAGTAAATCAATAATAAAAAACAGGCCTGTTCTGAAACTATAAATGTAGATAGGCTTGTTGTCGATCAGAATTGTAAGGCTTACAATTTCAGTGCGCCTCGAAAAAAGGAGCGTTTGCTTATTAATTTTCTTATGATAGTAGAGCAGATATGTGCTCAAGTTGTTCACTGTCTGTTAAAAGCATGAAATTTGGCACGATAATAGTTTTTAAAGCTCTAAAAAAGATAGGATATGGTGCCATCGCCAAAAAGTCCGTTAAGTGTGAAAAATAAGAGTTTTAAAATGGCGGCCATTTTGGACCGAAGTAAAATTAACATTTCCTTTAAAATTTTAGCAAGTTGGAAAACAAAATGTCAGCAAATGCCTAAGGCAGCTGTTTTTTCATACAAAGAGATATTATTTCAACGCAAATTGTCTTAAAAGTAGAATAAAGATGATATAAGTTGCCGCCAGCTAGACCGGAACTAAAACTACCGGAGTCGGAACTTTATTTTAAGGAATGAGCTTAAACTTCTGTTGTGCCTGCTAATTTTCTTTACTTTAATATTTTCTTTAAATCTAATGTATACACTCAATTTACTATTTTCATCATATATAATCCATCACTAAACTTGAGGTAATGACTTGATACTTCATGCCGACGAGTGCTTGTAATCGAAAAAAAGAGTTGGGCATTGCCTTTCACGATTGTCACTCTTCTGAGCACAGCCCTTCTTACGAGCGTACTTGACTAGTTCCACCCTCAGCTTTGTAATTTCTGACAGTGGTGTGCAGGAGAGTCGCCACTCTCCTCTTAGAGATATCCAGCCCAGTCTTGCAGACTAGGAACCTAGATGCTTGGTACCCGTGCCTGCTGACTCCATATGTGGCCAGCATGGTTCGCCTTCCTTTTGAAATCTTTAAGTAATGCAGGTCGGGTCGAAGAAACTACTTTTGGCTTCGTCAGTTGACAGTAAAGAACTACTTTTTAACTCGTATAGAAGAACGTGTAAGCGAA